CGACTGATCAATATTATCCGTGAATAAGAGCTACAAGAACAAGGTTATTATTCGTATGACGGGTCTGCAACATATACCAAATGGTTACATAGATTTAAAGATGAGTCAACTGAATTTGAAAAATGGACTGTTGGCTTGAATCCAGCTACGACTTAGATTTGCTACGAACCGTATTCATCATATACGCATACGGAAATAAGTTTGTCAAACACAGTAGTCTCCAACTGTCTCATCAACAATTCAAGTTGGAACCGCAATTTTGTATAAGTTGGCTGACGAAATCAAAGTAACCTGAAAACTAAAAAGGAAATTAGGATAAAATAAAGAGAAATAACCACATTGAATTTTTAAAAATGACATCAAATTTCCCGACAGATCTACCACGTAGCAACACTTTCTTGATTTTCGTAACAGAGTGGAACCCGAATTTGCCTGTTCGGTAAGCCATAAAATATCGACAAGCTGTATACATTCGTTTCCAAAAGACTACTGGATAAAGCTTGCATATCCCTGTGTTTCTCTAGTAACTTGAGGGTCAAATCATCCTTTTCATACTGACCCAATGAATGAATGTCGCTAGACTGATACTATCAACCTGATAACGTTAAACCACAAAGGAGAGCATCAATCTAATTTGTCATAGTTTACAAAATCCAGGACGGAAAATGTAATAAACAAGAACATAAGAAAAGAAGCGGTAAAATAAATCGATATGATGTTTAAAACACCTGGATTACTTAATGACTGTCATGTTCACTAATTGCCCAGTCAATAGAGAACTCATGGTCTTTTTTTGAAGTTTCAGGCTTATCATATCAATTGTGCTACCAAACATTATTTAGTGTTGATAAAAGTGCATTTGCAAGACTGACTATTAAGGCCGTGCATTCTCAGTTATTTCAATGATAAAGCTCAAACTACACATCAACAAAAAACTTACTTTCCAGTTTTATCTATAAACTATTCACCGGGAAGTGGTAGATAATGCAGGTATCAACTATGATAGAAGTCTATACATCATATATGCAAAACTTCACTAAACTAACAGACATGGTGCAAGGCACTTTCATTGTTAGAACTGACAACTAATCGATAGGAAACCAATCAGAAAACAAAAGACATTAAAAAGTGATCATCAATCCAAGTAACCGGATCTATATCTTGGTCTACAGATTTTCATCAGTAATTGCAACCCGAAAATTATATTAGTTACCAAATAGCTATTAATTCATATGCCTAATAGAGTCTTACATTGGCCTATATGTAGCGACGAATATCAGCATTGAGTGATGGAGGTTCAGAATTCGGAGGCAACATAAGCTTTTCCAATGTTGTAAATATATACCCCTTGCTAAAGAACAGCGGCAAGCGATAGACTTAAATTCAAATCTTCCTCAAAACTAATATTAAATAAATCATAGTGGTTGAGTAAGAATTAGGACCTGTGACAGCATATTACTTCACCTGAGGGTTAGTAAATTCACTTCTTAGAAATAAACATTCACTACCGTCTGATAAGCCGTTTCATGAAGTCTCACAAACAACGGGGATATGTCTCCATCAACAAAAACTCATAAAACAGCTGTTATTCATAACTATAAGCTTCTTTTTGATATCACTACCAAATTAACTCATAAGATTCATTGGTCAAATAGTGAGTAAAATTAACGACCGTAGTGAATGAATAAACTGACGTTGACAAAACCCTATGAAATGAACAGAATTTCCAGGTCAGCAACCAACGACTTAGCAATGACGACTTTCATTACACCTCGACCGTTTGTTGCACAGTATTTGATGAAATCTATTTAAATGAGTTCAATTAGATGGAAAAGAAGTTAAACATCAGCCTACAATCAACAGTCAATACCAACTTCTTTCAAGTTTATACTAGTATCATACTAAACACTTATTGTATACACAACTGTAGCAAAGTTAAAGAATAGCTATAGTAAACAACATACCCAATAAACAAGGACAGCCAATCAGAATCAACGAACGTCGAAAGACAATCAAAAACCTTGTAAATAGCATTCCGCGAGTGGTTTAAGCTCAGATTACGTTTAGAGTAAGTTAGAAGTTAGTCTGAAGTTAAGGTTAGGAACTTGTATTAGGATTTATAGCCAATATTCCATAGAAGGTTTCGATTTCGTCGAAGATTTATGTCAAATGTCCCACAAACTCGAAGAGCTACAGGAGAAAACTAACAAGTTGATAGAAGAGTCACCGAAGACGGAAGTTCAACTAAACGTAGAAAAGACAGACATAATGAAGATACCCAACCAACAACAACATGCACCAATAACCATCACCGGAGAAACCTAAAAGAAGTTGTCTCTTTCACCTACCTACTTCTACCTACCTAGGCATCAGACTTTCAACTACACGTAGCGGCACACATGAGAATCTCAAAGCCAGGATCGGAAACACAGCAAGACACACCTTCCTCCATTAATCTGAAATCACTGTGGAGATCGAATGCACTCAGGCATAAAGCATGAACAACATACGGATTGTCAACACCGATATCAGTCAAGTCAGTAAGTGCTTCTATGTGATGCTTGAGAGAATTGGCACCCTACGAAAAGCATTTCCAACAAACTACTGACATTCATCAACAACTCCCACCTACACCAGCTCACCTGATACTCACACTGAGGATCAGATGACCAGAATAATAAGGATCAGCAACAAGGAACTCTGGTTGGCTGGCTGGCAACGAACCAACGAAGCAAGAACCTACCACCCAACAAATATGCAGAAGCAGGAAGTGGAGATGGATTGGATTGGACAAACACTGAGAAGACCGACTGGGTATATCACGTGCCAGACCATGTCCTTGAGTGGAATCGAAAGGGGAAACGACGAGTTGGGTGTCTGAGCCTAGGGTGACATGGAGGAGATCATGTGAGGAAGAAATGAAAGCTTATGGGCAGTAGTGGATCCAAATTGAAAGGACTGTAGAGAAGAGGGTGGAATGGAGACGTGCTACTGAAGCCTCATGTTCCACTAGGAACACAAGGGACAAATAATAATTCCAACGAGCAATATAACCTAACCATTTAATAATTTATCGAGGTTCACCTGGTAAGTCATTGATTTTACGTTGGTCTGTCAGGTTTGCAAACCACCTTACACTGTATAAATGTTATCAGGCACTGCACACAGTTGAGTAGTTTTCAGCTGTATAACTGCCATGATAACAGGATTTCAGTTGAAAATCATATAGCCAAAACATAGGCTTTGTTCTCTGACACAATTATCACGGCGTACAAATCCACGCAGGTTAGCTAGCTAATTCACTACGATACACTATTCTACAAAGTTATTTCTTAAGACCATTTTCATACAATTAGCCGTTAACTAATGACAGAGTACGTCAGAAGGGAGAAAACACACTCGATGCTACGTACTAAATAACGAACATTATAAATAATTAACAGTAATATAGAAAACCATATACTTTTATTACTCATTTGAGAAATATACAATAGCTTTTCATTTTCAAAGAAAAATAGATAGGATAGGGAAAATACGAAAAAGGGATAAAACCGGGATTTATCGGCTTTTCTTCTTCAAGTAAAAAATAAAAGCATTTTCAGGGGATGCACTGTAGGAGGGGAAAGGGAACACAAAGATTTCAGCTATTTATATATAAATCGAGAATAAAATTGAAAAGTAGACAAAGGCAATCAGTAATACTATACGGATATAAAATCAAATGTACAACGTTTACAAAAAAGGAAACAAAAGAGAAGATTTAGATGACCTAGCTCATATATATATATATATATATATATATATATATATATATATATATGCAAGAGACAATGATAGAAAGGAGACTACTTATCTCCAATTTAATCAAGTGATCTGGAATGTGCATGCATTCCAATGCAAAAGGGAATAGAGAAAATAAAGAAATAATATCAGTTTCTTGAAAGATAATTTAAACAAATGACACTGGAAATGTCAACAATTGACCAAGTACTGCGATAATTTGAGTGGGTTAGACAGATACTCATTATCATTGAAAAATATCTAAGAGAAAGGAGATAACAGAAAACGGTAAACTGATTAGTTACACTGCTAAAACATTTCTTGATTAACTCGAAAACAATTTTCATTATTGTAAAGAAAATTAAGCATAGAGAGATAAAGTATTCGATAACAATTTTTTAACTGAGGATAACGACCCGATAAATGCAGAGTATTCACATTTCTAATCACTTGTCAGAGGATTGAAAGGAGGATGATGCAAATCTATCGGTGAAAAATCTTAACATTCAACCAGTGAATTAAACAAAACACAATGATTTACATACTTTCAGTTCAGTTAATTCATAATATAAATCAACAATTTTTCAATATCATTTATTAGTGGATGAGGGCACGTGTTTACTCTGCACTCCATTGACATTATATACGACACGTAGCTACAGTAGAATTTTGATTTGTAAGCTTAATTATGAGTCTAAAAACGATAAAATAGTAGGTGGAAAAAAGCAATCGAATTCCGTTAGACGAGATATTTCAAGGTTCAACATTATTAAAGTTTTTCAGCAAGACAAAAAATCAAATGGAGAGAAGGTCTACAATAAAGCTTAATTAACTGGAAAAACGGTTGTTTCTTATACTAATCGACTACTTGATGAGACTATGAATCTGTAATGGATATAGTTGTAAGAAAATGTATAACACTTATGTAATCACGGTACGTCTCAAAGCTGTAGCCCTTTAGTTTAGACAATCCATTTTTAACAAGCAAGTGTCACGGGTCCAGACAACTTCAGCTCTTTGTAAACTATCGTTAAAAACAATAGGAATTGATTGATGAGGGGGGGGTGTTTGAGATATAGTTTGAAATCTATCATTTCACTTCTCAGTAAATCAGTTGAGTAAACTACACCAATACCGCAATTGAAACAAGTTTGGAATCCTTTCACTATCTCACACTTTATAAAAATCCAAAAGTATTAACACAAACTTACCATTTTATTTTATGGAGCAATATGTCTTTGTGAGATGATTGGAGTAACAACTAATTTTGATTCAGAAAATGCAGGTTTACAATTGATTCGTTGATTTGTACCATCTAGGTGTTTTGACTGTCCTAGTTTTCTTGTTTTGCTGCTTATATGTGACGAAGGTAATTGTGAAGGCAAACGGCGTACAGATGTTTTATGATCATCATTTTTTATTTCAAAGGCTATTGAACTCTAGAAAATAACAAGAAAAGGATATGATAATCACATTTCTTATACACTGAACAAACACCTGACAACAGATGCTTTTAACAAGTTTCAAAGTTAATATTTCCAATCTAATCGAGAACATTCTGCATACTTTGATTGATAATCGATTAATGCTACCATTCACAACTCGTTCGCTTCAAATGAAACAAGAATACCTAAATGAGTAGCTAGTTGGTGAAGAACAGTCAAATAATAAGTCCTAGACCAAAACTAGGAGCTATTATGTAGCTACGCTTCACCATACTAGCCAATCATCAGAGTATTCGCTCACTTAAAATCAATAAGATTTTAAGGGTAGTGCTAGTCAATAGCTGATGAAAGTATCCACACAATTGTAAACTTTCACTGACTGAAGTCGTTTGGATACTTGTTATTCATGCTCAACGCCATAGCTTACTTCAATGTCCCATGTTCACCAGAGTAGTATTAGGTTAAAAGACAACTAAGGGTGATCAAACCAAGATATGACACCAGTTCATAAAGTTTGTGACTGCCTATTTGAGCTACGTAGGTAGGTGCGGAATATTTGGTTGAGGTTGCTGGATAATAAAAACCAGTGATGGTGGAGACTTTTGGTAAAATGCCTGGAAATCAGTCACAATGGCCCAGATGTGCTCATCATATCTTTCATCTTCGAAGTTTTACACATCTTTATTCATTCCCTCATCTTTTACACTTTTGTCTATTTTAATATCCCCTTCTTCTAGCCATTTGTTCATTGCAAGTTGATGAGATGTGAAGCAACTTGGATCGATGCACTGAAGTGTACCGTTTTACATTGAGTTATATATGCTTCCTCACAATTCAGATATTCGAGGATTTTACTACTCAAAAAGACACTGATAATCAAAAGATCAATGGAAAAAAAGGAAAACTGAAAAGAATAAGGGTAACTATTGATAATGCGCAGTAGTAAATAAATATTATAATAAACTTTTCACGATATCAAGAAAGAGAGAAGAATGAACAGTTGATCACCTGTACTACAAAAGACTGGTTTAAAAAAATCAGTGTAAAACAGTTTTTTGTGCTTCATAATTTTGATTTATGGGATTTTTTTTTGTTTTACAAGTCCATCAATAAGAATGAACAAATCTTGAATAACCGTAGTTAGAGAGAATAAACCACTTGATAATCCTATACATCTTCATTGAATGAGTGTATTAAGCTATTCGTGACATATATCGAGCACTTACATTTCGTTCATTCTCTCGATAATGATAAACTAACTTCCAAGACTATTTATGTTACTCACCAATAGTATATCAAAAATGAAATCTATCCACATCGTAATTCAACCTTGTTGTTCAACTGATGAAACTATACAATGATCGAAATGTGTAAGTCTTCAGTTATTCTCATATTCACCAGAAATTGAACAAAAATGTCCTAGATTTACAACGCAACATTACACTTTAAGTTAAACCAAACAGAAGTGAATCGATCATTAAAATAGATGACCTTTCAAAGTTAATTTATGTTTAAAGACAAAAAACCTGGAGAAAAACAAACTATATCACCCTGTTTGAAAATATAATGCATAATGTAAACCATCTTCTTACTAATTGATTTTCTAAGGTGTTTTTATTTGTGTTTTATTTTGCAGGAAGTAAGCTTTACAAATTTATCTAAACTAGTACTAGTTCGAACACCAAACCAACTCTATATGGAACAGATATCCAATAAAACAACGGAGAATTACAAGTATATGAATAAATAGTAGTAACTAATACCCAGTGTATAGGAAGTGGCTATCGTGCCTCCGTGGTATAGTGGACAATGCCTTGGCGTTTGAAGTGATGAGTACAAGGTTCGTTTCCCAGTGGGAACATCACTCACTGGGATGCAGGTATATCCAGCTAATGAGTCCCGAATGGGACGAAACACGCGTTCTGGATTCCTCTGATAGTTACAACCAACCAAGTTATCATAATTAACATCCAGGCAATATCGAAGCATCCACATAGGAGCCCATGCATCAATGGAGGTCAAACAGTTTGATCCAATAAAACAACGGGAATTACAACTATATGAATAAATAGATATCCAACACTTCAACATTTTCGGCAGTTGTTAAATAGATATAGGCGTGTAAAGAAAAAAATCAACGAGCAATATTTACACTACTTCACCCTGTAAACGAAAAACAACTGCATTTTGAATATGTCAAGAAATCTAAGACCTAGCAATAAAGAAAAGAATAAAATTTGGTATATAATTTTGGACTATCTCTCGAGTATATGGGATTAGGTTCGAACTCCTAACACTTTTGACTATACATGCATAAAGTTAACGCTGATTTGAGATGCATAATTTCAGGAGAAACAAATATATAGAAGCTATGTGTATTTTTATAGTCGATACGCCTGAATAAATTGTCTAACATTACAAAGCATTTGAAGAGTAATGATCGTGTGTAGTAATCTTAGTTGGAGCATTCACTTTCAAAAATACTAAATTACACTAAAGATATTTGAACAAACCGCTTAAAATGTCACATGCACCCTTATAAATTAGTTACTTCGTCTTATATATACAAATGACACGACGTTCCACACTGTCCAGTATTGACCTCATACAGTATCGACTTAAATTAATTAGACGATAACTTGTTCCCGGTCTCTGTGTGTTTGTCTATCTACCTACATGCATACATACTATTTCTATACGCGTTATGAGCTTTTAGTGAAGGCGCGTATTTTACAAATTGAGAGACAAGAGAATTCAACTAATTCAGGTCTTAATGTTAAGAGGAATTAGGAAGTTTGTTTTTAAAATAAGTGTTACTCTGCAATCATCGGCAGATTCCTGAGACGAGCAATGAACTAAAAGTATGGCAAGGACTGGTGACGGTAGTAAATTCGTATGGGTTGGATCCACGACCCAATGATTCAAAGTTGATAGTTTACATAAAAAAGCCACACAGTTATATTTTACAGCTGAATTAGGTTAAAAAGTAAAACTCAAAAACAAACATAGATTATCATAACCTGATATTTTAAAATATAGCTAAAAACGTTTCGAAATTGTGTGTAAATACTTCAAACACTGAGCTACAAACTCAAAGATACTCAAGAGAGTACAGATTATTAAACACTAGTGAGAAAAATTTTAAGAAGTTATACAACTGGGGAAAAGGAGAAGTTCAGTGAAGATAATAGCAAAGACCTTCGTTTCCCTTAAGGTTATACAATTCTCAAACGACTACGCTACACTAACACAGATTTTTATTAACAGTCAAGTGATTCAACAATCAGAACAATTCACCTGCTCACCTACTACAACTGCATTTCTAAGTGAATACAAAAATCATATAATACTTAGAATAAAGGGCTTAAAATAAAAAGTAATTGTTCACTTCCTTTTGGTATTCGCATATCGGATACAGACTGGAAGCAAATGAAATAAGAATACAACTTTTAGACCATAAGTGTAGGTTGTTAACTTCATTTGCTTGAGGTAGATTAATTCTACCTCCATCTGACACACCAGAACAGAAGTACTGTGAAAACGTCTTATTCCAGATAGATCAAAACATCATGCATCCCATAAAGTCAGTAAAAACTGATCTGAAGTGTTTATTGAACTCCACCCTTCCTTCTGACTGACTTCGCTGAAAGACTGTAAATTGTTGGTTGGAAGAGTGTGAGCAACAGGATTATCAAATGCGTAGGCTTGTCGTTTTTCTTCAAATCTTAGAAATTAAGTTTATCAATTACCTATTATGCAACTAGCTTTTCTCGTGTGTCAGCATACTCATTCAAATAGGATAGAGGTGATGCAAAAGTGAGCACTAAACAGGTTTCAAGATGATTAATGAAACGAATTAAATCGCCTACCTAACCTTTCAACTTACACAGAAAATCGTATAAAAGCTGTTGGTGATGAAAAAAGTCTACGCCTACACCCCTAAGGTAATGCCATAGATGTATGCAAATGTAGGCGCTAAGACAAATGAGCGATAAATACATAAGCAATGCGCTTATGATAACTTTAAGTGTCATTATTATGCAGATAAAAATTGTTGATTACTTAAAATTACTCATTTCAGAAAACATTTAAAATGCTCATGATACAATTAAGGAATCATGAACAGCTTTGTGCACTAGGACATGAATCCCAGAATTCGTGTGTGTACTAATTCAACTGTTCAGACCTCGCTAAATGAAGTAAGATTGGACTTCTTTAGATAGAGGTAGGGTACCTAGGCGAATAAAGTTGTGTACGCGAATTGATGCACAAATAGGTATCAGTTTTTACATGTTAGCTTAATAAAAATGAGGACAGTATAAACCAAAACGTAATGATCATACATCAAAATGAAGATATTCAATCCAGGAATTCTACTTGACCATTTACTCAACTTCTCAGATAGGAAAAAAGCGATAAATGAAAGTACAATATACAGCACTAATTATACACTTTCAGGTGCCCTTTAGTTTGAAGAGCATTCTATAAGGTTGTAAAGAATAGCTTTTTATGGAGGTATCCAGTAAAGCAATTGCACGTATGGTCATACTGATCTCCTGGAAGCTTCCGAGTAGTCTGACCAATGATGAATGTATTCAATGAAATCAAGTATTTTGAAGAATCTACAGAAAACTGTACAGTCTTGCAGTACGGACATTTTAGAAAACTATAAAATATCCATTCCTATACGTAAACTACTCAAAATAAATTTTAACTTTCTTACGATAGAAAAAAACGTTAGTACTTTGATACAAACTGTCAGAAAGATTAAATTTGTCGGAAGAAATTTATACTGTCATCCTGAACAGAAAGACAACAATAAACAATGCAGTCTACTCTGCTTCCTATCTTACAAATGAATAATAATACAATTTCCCTTAACTTTGCTATTCGGTTATTAAATCATCGATATGACGAGTGATTGAAACAACTGTCTATCAATTTAACTTAACTTCAAAAAGATGACAGGAAACTACAAGTACGTCAGATAGAACATAATACACTTAAGGTTCTTAGTGGTGACTCATAACGCAGAAGATGAAAAAGATGCCAACAATAAGACAGGGATATGTATAAACCCAGGAGGATCTAAGTCGATAACAATTTAAGTAGACAAATTACATTGAAACTGTCATCAGTATATGTTAATTGTTCACAAGAATGCATGTAAAGTTACTGAATTTTGAAATGAATAGGATATATATGTGTTTGTAATATAAGTTACTGGATGATAGGAATAAAGAGAGATCGAAGAGGGTACAACTTTGAGCACAAGTCCATCGACTCAAATCACCAATTTTCGCAAGAGCAAAGACAAAAACTGAACAGAAATCGAGCGAAATTGAATTAAAAACAAGTGTTATAATATAAAAGAGAATAAACGTATTAAAAATTGATAAAATGTTCAAATTTTTGAAAATGGTAAATAATGAATATCTCGATACTACTGGTGGCATTAAGAGAGTACCCACAGACTGAATTCTAACACATCGAGGACCCCCTAATCAAACAGTTCACACTTTGTTATATAACTTAGATCAGCTAATCAAAAGATTTATGATTTAGTACAATGTTTTGTTTTGGTCATCTGAACCTGTTTTCTGACTTACATACAGTTTTGCAAAAAAAGCGTACAGGAAGAAAACTCACAAAAACTACCACACAAAGGCCAAGTACAATAATTAGATTAAGAGAGCACTAGTGTTCAGTTACTCACTCTTATCGACCAAACAGTAAAAGCAATGAGACCTAAATATATTTACCTTGATATCTGGAAACATTTTATCTTTCGATGAATCAGTGTGGTGTATACGTCTAAAAACATACCTCGACACAAATAAACTTAATTGGTGATGAATAGAGAGAGCAACCGAAGGCTTCAGTCAGCTGAACCTTAATGTTTAATTTGTTTACATTAACTGGAAACCTAGTGCTTAACTTCAATACAAAGGAATATCCAATACTAATTTAAGTGGCGAAATTTCCAAAGCTATGAAACAGTAATACGCACTTACTTTAGTCTCAGTTCGCTATTACATATAAAAATAGACATCTGCAACTGAAGACCTCTGATACACTCTCTGGATTCCCTACAATCGAACCAATCTGATACCGTCTCGGCAACCAAAAAATGGTAGGGTTATGCTTTTCCCAAGATAGTATCTCAACATTTGTACAGTAGTACACACTTTTACTCCTTCTCTACATTCTAACGATTACACCATGAAAATAGGAATCGAACTACGAAAAAATAGGTGAAACTTTTTAATTTTGGCAGCAATAAAAAAGCTGATAGAACTAACCTTACTGCTCCGTATACTTGAAGCACCGCTAAGATCATCAACACTTTGTACAGAATTTGTTGGGGAAACACCGTTTCGATCAGTAGGATATACCTCCGCTTTTTTATTTCGATGATTTTGAACAGGATTTAGTGGTTTTATAAATAATCCAGCATCCGTAAGTCGACGATGGATCATTGTAGAAGAATGAGGGGGATTTACATTCTCGTTGTCAGATGACAGTTCACCACCGCCTCTTGTGTTGTGCGTTTCATATTGATTACGACTACTGCTACGATTTGGAAGAGCTTCAGGAATACTGTTTCGGAATTCCTGATAAGTAACCAAAGATCAATAAAATTTAATAGATTAAATGAGTGCTTGCAGTTCCTTAGTTTTTCAACGCTAAGTGTCACGAATGAACGAAATGAGGTATAATTCACTCACGTTTGTGAACTATGCCATGAGCCACACTCATTATTTATGTGAGGACATATGCTACTACTCAGTTAAGCGTACATCGTTAGGGTTAGGGTTTCCGTCCATGAACCACTAGGTGAAAATCGATTACCTAGGTCACATGAGCCACAACGAAAAGGAAGAACAATCTTTATATCGCTGTGCCTCATTGCTTTTTAATTACGCTAAATTAGTTTTGTTTTGCAATGCAACAAGTACATACAGATTCATACACCAAGCAACGAACTAACATCATAGATATGAGCGTTAATGATTCTATCCATTTTTTATAACTTTATGAAAGCTCTAACAAACTCAACATTTTGGTGGAAATATTTCAAACTATAAGTTTAAACTGTTGCTGAGTTTCCTCTATATTCATCGCAAACTGTACTAAATCATAGATTAAGGCGGTTTGGTCATAACAAAACAAGAATAAAGTAAGGTTGCGAAATGAGTCAGCATAAGCGCACGAAATCTAGGAACATAAATAAGGAATTATTATTCATCGACATGTTCTATACCTTGACTTCAAGGTGCCATATCCTAAACTAACCATCTCAATGCTTTCTTTAGTCAGTAAAAGTGTCAACAACAATGTCTATAGTATCGAATTATCTCAGCGAATTATGAAGATGAGGATCGTTGGTTTAGAGAGCTGATATCTAACTAGTAGATCACGACTTCGAACCCTACTTCACTTACCAAGGTGTGGACAGCCAGGTAGTAGTATCGTTAGCCGTGTCGTTCACTGCTTACTGCACGACTATTCAAAAGGTTGCTGAGTACATCTCGATCTCTCAACCACAGCAAATGTGTGCAGATTCATTCACTTTTTTATGAGCCATACGTTTTGTGTTACGCTGAAAGTCACCATGGTATACAAAGTAAAACATAGACAGGTGAGGAATGTAAGGTTTAACACCTGACCGGGTAACATTCTCAATTACTTCCAAAGACAAACTCGTAAGTACAGTACTGCTTACAAGTGTCAGATGCACTAAGCACGAGTTCATAAAAAACAGACTTATTATTCATTATCATTCAGTAAAGTAATGGTTTCTTTTACACTCATCACCTCTGTAAGTCATTGTGCAAGTATTTTTCAACCAGCAAAGATACTGCGCTTGGATAGTTATGAAGTACAACTTAGGCATCACATGCCCACCAAGTAGTGAACCATTACATTCCATGAAACCTCATGGTACTACCCACCACGTTGCTCAAACCTTGATAAGTAAAGTGGGGTTCCAACCTGTGACTCAATGGATGAAATCCAAGTGCCTAGATCAATGAATTCCAACTGCTAGTTATTACAAAATAGGCAACATATTCATGCAATAAAAAATGAACATGATAAAAATACGCAGCAGATAAGTAGAAACTTACAATTTTTCGATCAGCATGCGGTAGCATATGTACATTCTGGATACCAGAAGAGGATGAGTATGATTTACAATTATTAATCTCCTTATCAGAAACTACTGATTTGATGAGATTAGGATGTGTAGTCAGTACATAATTCATAGCTTTACTGTCTACAGATGCTGAAATAAGCGCTTCACTAAAGGATTGTATGTCTTTAGGCAATGGCTGATAACCAGCAGCCAGTGGTGAAGGCGTTGAATCTGGATCAAAGGTATTTTTCTCTTGGATAGATTTAATATAAGAAGTCTTTTTGTGATCCACTGATAAAGTGGAGGGAATCGGTCTAGAAGTATTGGTTATTGTGGTGTTGTGTGTAACAGATTGGTCGTTTGAACCGTTAAGCATAGAAGACTCCTTATTGTTAGTAGTAATATGATTTCCCTTATGAGTGCGATTTTTTATTCTGTTTAGTGACTTATTCACCACGTTATTATCCGTGGTTATTTGACTCAGAGTGCCAACAATATCATTTGTGTTAATTACCTAAAAAAGAAGGGATAAAAACAGATATTGCGAACGGTCAATAATTCAACAACAGGGCGAAAAAGGGTTCGAAAATAAAAAACGACTAAAAATTAAGATATATTCTTTTTATTATTATCTGTCCTTTAGGTTCCTAGTGGAACATAAGGCTTCAGTAGCACGTCTCCATTCCACCCTCTTCTCTACAGTCCTTTCAATTTGGATCCACTACTGCCCATAAACTTTCATTTCTTCCTCACATGATCTCATCCATGTCACCCTAGGCTCAGACACCCAACTCGTCGTTTCCCCTTTCGATTCCACTCGAGGACCTGTTCTGACGCGTGATGTCCCCAGTCGGTCTTCTCAGTGTTTGTCCAATCCGATCCATCTCCACTTCCTGATTCTGCATATTTGTTGGGTGGTAGGTTCTTGTTTTGTTGGTTCGTTGCCAGAGTTCCTTGTTGCTGATCCTTATTATTCTGGCCATCTGATCCTCAGTGTCAGTATCGAGTGAGCTGGTGTAGGTGGGAGTTGTTGATGAATGTCTGTAGTTTGTTGGAAATGCTTTTCGTGACGCGACAATTCTCTCAAGCATCACATAAAAGCACTCACTGACTTGACTGATATTGATGTTGACAATCCATATGTTGTTCATGCTTTATGCTGAGTGCATTCGATCTCCACAGTGATTTCAGATTAATGGAGGAAGGTGTGTCTTGCTGTGTTTCCGATCCTGGCTTTGACATTCTCATCTGTGCCGCTACGTGTAGTTGAAACGATGGTGCTCAGGTTATCGGTGCATGTTGTTGTTGGTTGGGTATCTTCATTACGTCTGTCTTCTCTACGTCTAGTTGGACTCCTGTCTTCGGTGCCTCTTCTGCCGACTTTTTGGTAATCTACAGTAAAACTGATCATCCAGCTAACAAACACTTTTTCCGAGTTGGTATACATCACAAACTAAAAACATTTGGAGAATCATTGACAACCTGGAAGCAAAGGACAGCTGTTTCGTCCTAGTATGGGATTCCTCAGTAGTGAGCACACATGACCCCAATAGTGATTCCAGCCAAGGCATTCAGGTTTCGCAGCGACTACGTTACTGGTGACACAAATAAGTTGGAATCTAATGGTTCACACCTTTCCACTTCCATCAATTCCCAATATAGCAAGACCTTCATCCAACACTATCACTGAGTATTTCTACAAAATGATAACGTGACTTTAAAACTTGAAAAAGTGACATAAGACAAATCTTTTCCATTATTTCGATATAATAAGACATGTAACAACTGCGCTTCGATCCACACTAACATGTTTTACGTCATATCAGAAGAAAATTAACAGGGGGAGGAATAGATGAGTAAAATATTAGATCTGCGAAGACCACATTCCACAGTGACGAAACATTCTTAGATAGTTTCAACTATGTGAATAGTCCAGTTGTGATTCACTGACTTAAAGGCAATGCCGACTAAATAACTGACAAAATCAATGTAGAACTTCGCACACAGATGCATCAGCTCAAGCTGACACACTTCACAATAATATACAATGAACAAGAGGATAGAAAAGAGTGATATCAAAGTAGATAAAGTAGTGTGAGAGAAAAAACAATCTTATGATAAAGGTTAGTGCGAATATTCAAGCTTTAGAAAATATCAAAGAGCCAATACATCTTCTCCACTCCAACCGATTTCCAGTCATACCACCAACAGTTCTCAACCCCTGATTCCTTTCGTCTTGAGGACCGCAACCAAGCAGTCTTCATCTCCACCACGACTCAGATATACAGCCAGAGACTTCAGCGACCGGTGCTACGTCTTGGTCTTCCCACCCTGAAACCTCTACAAATCTAATTCAACTTTCCCTAACATGACACACCAAGATAGGTGGTGATTCGGCATGTGCAGCACATGTCCAGGCCATCTTAGTTGACTAAAGTTCACAGCTTCACCAATGGAGTCGCCTGTCTTGCCTAGTACACTTCGACGGACCTCAACATTGCTCATATGATGATTCCACCGAAACGCGAGCAATGCTACCGACTCATGTCCCCTAGTTTCAACGGCCATAGCTCACAGTCGTATAACAGGATACAATGGACTGAAGCGTAGTATGCTCGTCCTTTGATAGGCAATTGGATATCTCACCAGTCGGCACCACACTTGATGTAAGTTGGCAAATCCCAAACGGCCTTTTTGTATCCATGCTGAGGTTTCGTCAGCGACCAACCCATTCAAGCAGATGCAACTCCCCAAGTAAGTGAAGTGGTCAATGCATTTCATCGCTTCACTCATTACCTATCCTTAAACAGGGAGTGGATGCAGACCAGTCCTAAAGCATCACCCTACATTTGACAAGTTCCAGCAAAACACATCTGAAATATACTCAGATTTCTGTTCAAAGCATCAGAAGACCCTGTATTTTGTCAACGTCTTTACCTAGCAGGAGAGTATCGTCTGCATACTACCAAGTCAACCACATCAACACCTCCAGGGAGCAATGCAGCCAGCGTTCAACCTCCCCCAGGCCATCTACTTTCGCATGTGCAGAAATCGAATTGTATCAAAAGGCCGTCGATACAACAAACAAGAGTCAAAGCTTCATGAATAAATCTGTAATGGGTTGAGTTGCATTAGTTACATTCATCAGTTGGTTTCGCCGATCCACATAGGAACACTTTTCAAAATAATTCCAATCAATCTAACTGGAACCATAGGACTAGAATTTTGACAGTAAACACCGACAACTAAACACAAGAACAAAGGATACATGGAAATAAAAAAAGACTAAACGTCAATTATCTGTGCACACTATAACTGATGTAGTTTAGTTAGCAGCAAGTGATATGTGACTTGACATAGTGCTTTATTTGCTGTGATTTAAAACAAAACAAAATCGGCTGGAAATGTGTTTACCCTAAATAGATTTATGTATAAGCGTATGTTTATTATGTAGGTTTTACGGTACTAAAAACAGAATTTTGTTAATAATTTAAAAATTCAAAGAACGAAAATTAAAGACAAACAGTCTGGAAACTTTACTTTTCTTACTGTGGACTTCACGGATCTTAGACTGAAATAATAAGATGATAACGACTGCATAAAGTGACACACACACACACACACACCACACACACACACACACACACACACACAGCGATAAAAACGGGTGTTCAATATAGTCAACTGTTCTACAGTGAATCCCTAATTGTTGTTTTTTTCAATGTGAAATTAGTAAATCATGGTATTAGGTGTTTTTAAATAGTGTAATACAGGTGAAGTGTTTCCCAATAAATAAAAAAGCCAGTACCATGTCTATCCCTTATGAACTGAAAATAGTCTAAACAATTTGTTCGGTTTGTTTTCTCTTAAACTTTTTATTAAAATGAATCAGATGTTAAAAAGAAATTCAACTAACTTGTGTTTCAACTGGATAACTTGATCGTAAATGTGAAGGTTGTAAACGATTACGTAAGTGTAATTCTTTAAGACGATTGGGATCTAGCAAGAAAATAAGGAGTGAAGATAAATAATTTAATTAGTAAAGCATTTCCCTACAATTCCATCATCATGAGTACATACATTATTAGGAGTAATCATAAAGTCACTAGAAATATAAGAACGAAATACACTATTATTGTCAGCTAAAATCCTACAACTAAAGAAATACAGTAGAAATGAGAAATGTGATGACAAAATACAGCCGCTGAATTCAGTATAAAAATTAGTCACTTATTAAGCTTCGCGTTGTTTCAGAACACTGTGGAAAAACTAGATTTGTCTGACAAGTTATTACTGTAAGTAAAAGTGTATGTATATTCATGAATAAGACTGTGAGTCATATCTGCACCGGACATACAGGCTTTCTAGTTGTCTGTTAGATGGCATGCATTGTAGAAGTTAGTAACTAGGTCTATAATGAGAATAACAATAGTAAGCACCCATGGATGACCATGCGTAAAAAAAGGATTCTTAAAATCTTCATTGTTCAAATTGGAACGATACTGTTTCCCACCAGATTCCACACAGATTTTACCCTAATTAGCGTAGTTACATATATATATATATATATATATATATATATATATATATATATATATATATATATAAATTAAGGCAATTTGCGTGTCAATGATGAATGTTTTACGATATATACATATCAATGATAATAATGAGACTGGTAATTACAGTAAGTGTTGACAAAACAGTCGTAATATAAGTGATGATATATAAAAGGCAGCGTCAAAATGTAGACATGCCGACAATTAAATAGGGTACAGATAGACTAAATCAACAATTCAATAAAAATTGTGAATAAGAAACGCGTAATTTACTATTTAAAGAGAAAATGTTAGTCCAGAAATCAAAATTGTGATATACTCAACAACAACATGAACATTCATATAGGAGTTAGTCAGTTATGTAACTCGAATTCAATAGAGGTATAGTCAATCAATTTATACAAGAAAGACTGTCTATGCATAATTAGGACAATTTCCTATGATGCTCATATCTGCTTATCTAGTTTAAGTCGACTGATGGCTGTGTTTTTTTTTTGTTGTCTATGTCTATTCACAAGTTGAGTTGATCTTTTGAAACAGGAGAGGCAACTTAACAGACGTGGTACTGAGTACCTACTTTACTGGTTAGAAAAGGGATAGATAGCATCCATAAGAAATCCAATCTTTTGTATTATTTACTGAAAAACAATGAGACCTTTTTGGTGGTTTTTAAATTCATATTTACACTAAGTGGAAGCTATGGAAATTACAGTTAATAATCCTAGCCTTTCTTTCGTTAGGGAAGACTTATTAGACAGCTTTACCATTTGAATCTTTACCTTCCTATCTCGTTCTTCATTTCTTATACATACCTACTACATTTCTTTACCTTACGATTATCCAATTACTTTATTCTCTGGTACTACACAATTTTAAATACCCCAACACCTTGACGCACTTTTATTATCCGAATGCTTACATTCTCATGCCATTTTCTTTGTCCTTGTCAACTCTGTCAGTACGACAGTTACCGTTACCATTACCATTATTATTCGTTGGTTGATTTCATACAGAATCAAAATGCACCCAGCCACTACGTACACGTTTGTACCATAGGTAGTGAGCCACACTTAATGTGTAACGGCCAATAATGCCACCTGACTGACTAAGCCTCAGTAGGTAGGGGATGGTTCGAACATGTAACCCATTGGTTGGAAGTCGAGCCCCTAGACCAATCAGGCACAGTTTCACGTCCATATATATAAGTAAATCTTGAACAGAGATTTAATTGAAAACAATTTCGTTAGCTTACACTTTTTGGTTGAACATAAGAATGAACTAATCTAGTGAGTCGAATCAATTGTTTGACGTGAACGTTTTGTACCAAGCAGAAGACCATAGATAAATGATTTCTCCCCTTTTTAAGTAGACAGGGATAAAACCTTACATTTATTGCTGAGAATGAGCATTGGCCCACCTATAGCCATTGTGTTATAATTGGTAGATTATCTTTTTGTCAGATGAAGATTGCTGAGATTAAAATGAGGCTAGTCAACACGCCTACATATACAGAAAAAAACGCTACACATGCACAGATGAAATACCCAATAGTAATAATAATAATAATGATAAGTATCACATTACAATACTAATTTCGAATATGATTGAATCAAAATATCAATAAAGCAACACATGATGAAGAAAATATTTGGATTTTTTCTAACAATGCAAAAGACAACATAAACTACAAGGCCCTTACACGTTTTGAGGGTTCGTGAATATTCATTAAAAATCCAGAGTAAAGTCAACAATTGGCTAATTCATATTTCCGCTTTTGAATGGTCTCATTACAAAACTTCACAAAGGGAAGCGCACCACCTTATTGCTGACGGTGTTTCCCAAGGAGCCATACTTTCCCCCTATCTTTTCTCTTTCTTTCTCCATGACTTAGCATCTTCAGCTAGTACCAATTATCAAATATGCTGATGATCTGACAGTTTCCATACCAGTCTCCTCTCCAACAGATTTTTCTCAACTGAATAATTTCCTATCTGCTATTAGACGATGGTCCTTCGTGAATGGTCTTGTGCCTAATTCTTCAAAATATCAAACCATAAACTTTAACTTCAGATGTCAACATAATCTATGTTAACTGCTTCGTTCTCATGATTCCTAGCCTATTGATAGCTGTGCATTAGAGAATGTTAAAAGTATGATTTATCTCGGTGTACTTTTCTTCACATCTTTCCTAGTCCTCCCAAATCTTACTAATTTCCAAAAGAATTTTCCGACTAACTCTCCATATTAGAAGCTGAGAGTATCTGATATGACTCAGCCTCTCCTCTTGTGTTTTATAAACTTCTGCATCTTGCCTGTTCTCCTCTACTGCTCTACTTTATTCTCCTTTCCTGGGTTACTGAGAAAGACTATGCTGTACTGCGTAGAACTTCGAAGGTTGTCAGTAAAAGTAGTGGTGTACGTCTACACCTTCTAGTTAAAATAGTTTTGGAGAGACATCTTAACTCACGTAAACATTTGGCAGGAGTTACTTTATCAGATGACCAAAATCCTCTTCACTCAAAGCTCTAGGTGTGCTGGTCGTCAGAAAAGATAAGGAGTAAGTAAATAAGACTTTATGCACATACTATAAAATATAAAGACTCGGCAATAACGTATTCAGCTCGTTCTGCTGTGCGGTGAAGAAAGTATTAAAAGTGAATTAACTAAACAACTTCTGTTTTGAAATCAAACTCACTGATAATGATGATGATGAGCATGTTACTATCTATGTATTACGAACCTATCTAATAATGTGATTGTCTACTTAAATTAACTGTACATTTTCAAGAAAGTTGTAGACAGGGTGAATATTCTTATCTTATGTGTAATTTATCCGTATATCATTTTCCTATGCATACATATATACTGTCTCTGTCCAATTGATAATATGACATGCTGTAAATTCTGTAGAGTATTCCTGAAATAGCTTTCAGAATAAAGCCATTATTATTACTATTAAGAGTGGATAGGAGAATACTGAAAGTGTAAAAACACTTGTATCGACTTGAACTATGAAGTTCACTCACTACAGTATATAATTATATCAACAAGTTGAAATGTGGTATGAACCAGTAACAAAGTATTTTGATTAATATTTCACGATCTAAAAAACATCAGTTAGAGGTTTGTGACGGACAATAAAGTGCATCCTAAACAGTTGACAATGATAAACAAGATTTACCTGTGAATTTCAATGAAACGTCGTACGCCTTAAACCTACGTTATCACTGAGCTATTTAGATCGCGCTTGACTCCGTGTAAGACAAGATTATGGAAACCAACTGGTAACTGACTAATTTATCTCTCAAATCTTAATCTTAAGTACTGATCGATGCGATGATGAGTTTGGTTGCTATTTTAAGCGACAAGACAATGTGATGTAGTAGTAGAAATAGTAGTAGTAAACTATGAACTTAACACTATACAAAGTGAACCACAGTGTTATGTCATTTAGCTTAGTGGTGACATAGGACACTTGATCGATAGACTTCGGTTAGTTTTTGTGAAAAATCTGATACACTGATTATAATTCCTTGAAGAATGTTTGTGAATCTCTTATATTTTGTCACATGAATTAACAGTAACACGACAAAATATTCGTTAACGATGCTTAGTCAGCTGTCTTGCGATGTGACACATTTTATTCCTTTTCCATTCTGTTGAAGCTATGTGGTCCATTAGTTTGGACATAGTGTTTAACCACTGCGTCACAAGTTTCAAATACCAACTCATGCAACAAGATTTGGGCATTCAGTCAGTCAGTCAGTGATTATCATGGTCCCTTCCTCATGCATCAGGTATGTACCACAGATACTGCATGAGCCGGCACTCAACTATTATCTGTTCGATACTAAACAGCAGCAATAAGTTTGAGTGTTGTGAATAAAATTCAAAATTAGCATTATTAAACACTGGAAACATAAGATTGTTCATACACTGGTTTACTAAGCCATAAATATAACTGGAAATACTACTGAAGACTTCAAAAATTTACTACATACTAAATGTCTGTGATAACTACAAAGGCTTAACAGGACTTAAAGTAATCGGTATATTGACCTCCTCTTTTAGTAGAATCATCAGTGCCAAAAAAGTGCAAATTTCTCAAACTACAGGATAACCTTAGTCGACTTCAAAACCAAACACCACTACTATCGTAAACTATTTACCAAAGTTATTATTGAATACAACATGAGAAAATAATTGGTTAAAAAGCAACAGAAAAGGCAGAGTGGTTTAAAAATAAAAACAAGAGCGATAAGACGCAAAAATTATAACAACAAAAACTACCAGAAGATAAAGGTGGACTATTCCTTGAATTCTTTGATGAGGTTGTTGAAATACACCCAATAGGTTGGGAATAAAGTTGTAGCACTGGTTGATCAATAAAATACTCAGTATTAGTTTGTGCATTGCTTGTTGTTAGCTTAGTATTCTGACAGCCTGAAAGAAAACATTATCAACACAGAGAAACACCATGCTGTAAATGGTCAGTTGGTTAAAAATAATATGGAGATAACAGGAAGAATCACTGAAGAGTGAGCAAATGTTTAGAAAAACATAAATGGATTATTATTCATAATCACATAGCTTTTGCATAATTCTTCAGTTAGGGGCTGACAGTAGTTGGAAAACCATCCAAACAGTTGATCAACATATCTATTGTTTCACTTTGGGCTTGTCGATAGTATGGACCTCCAAAAACATAGAAGACTGAGTTATATAGCAACGTGACAGCCGGTTACTGGATTTTAACCAATAGATTTCAAAATCAAAGTGTTCCCTGGGAAACATTAAGCTCTTTGAGACGATAAAATGTGATGTCATCGGTGCCCAATGCTGAAGAATACCAATCTAAGATGGGAAGGTGAAAGTGACATCACAGTCTCGGAACCGTCAAACAACCTTGTGCACATTAGTGCAGTAGGCGATGAACTACGTCTATTGTGACAGCTAGTGATACTATGTGGCTGCTCAAAGCTCAGTAGATGGGAGGGGGGGGCTTCGAATCTACAACCCACTGGTTATGAAATGATAAAAACTTTGTAATTACTAAAGATTCACCAGCTAATATCGACCGATGGGGAGATTTATCTTTAAGTACACAAATGGTTTCAGATGAATCAACGTTTAAAACATCACCAAAGAGCATAGATTATATTAATTTTAGGGTATGCTGGTGAGGTTGAATATGTATTAACTCAAAACCAATAGTGTTAATATATATGTCGACATGTGGTGCATTGGTTTAAGCAATTAGATTTCATGCAATGGAACCAGGGCTTAAACTCTGCTGAACCGATTTTAATTTGTGCAATCAAGTGGTGTTATAACCCCTTACATAATCAATGTAGTTCATGACTTGGTACGTGAACACCTGTACTGCGCAGAATTACATTACACTTACAAGCAAATTTATTACTTTGACAAATGGAGCATACAGATAATGAATCAAGCTTGAAAATAGTTTGTCTTCCATTCTCTGTGAGATACGTGTTATACAATGCGGCATCTCTTATGAATAAAATTAAGTAAGCACTTTGTTACTCCTGTAGTTAGGCGTTTATCGTGTATTCTTAACTCTCTTCATTACCTTTTGACCCCCCAAGAGTGGTGTTCTGAAAAGGTTTAGCGAAACAAAACACTCAGTTTCCTTTGCAAAAAACACAGCACAAATTAACATGATGTAGATGAATTTATGCAGAAGGGTATAAGACTTTCTCATTGTGTCAGGGTTTATGAGGCTATTCAACTAAGCATTGAGTGAGTTTGTATTTGAATACAGGACCTACTGATCGAAAGTTGAAAGTCTGATTAGTACTTTACAGTATGGTGGAGAATATTTGTAGCTCAGGTAGATGGTCTTGGTTGTATTGTGTTCTCTGAGCTGGATCGTTTAATCATGGAGCTTTCATCGTCTTTCTAGATGACATCTTCAGCACTAACTTCACTGTGAAGTGAGCTGTCAACATCTCTCCATGAGTGATTTATTAGCTTGCCCTGACCAACTGGTTTGTGATTGGTTGTTTCCATTGATTGCTGTGTCACTGACTGTAGTCAACACTACACTAGGCAAAGTGGTCGCCCTCTTCGCCTTCGTCTATATGAACACCAATTCGCTATTAAACGTCGCGAAATTTCATCACTCATTTCAATGCACTTGGATAACAACTATGGACATGAATTCAATTTTGACAATGTAGAAATCGTGGACAAAGAGAGGAAACACAAAGAATATCAGAGAATTCCTAGAAGCTTGACATTCAGGTCAGTCAATCAGCAATCAACAGATGTGTAGACATACACCCAATCTATCAACTAATAAGTAGAATGATAACGATAGAAAGGTGAGAGGTCATGCAGAGGAACATCCAACAGGAAAATCTATGCAGTCGATGATACAACAATCAAAGGAGACAACCAATCACAAGCCAGTTGGTCAGGGCAAACTACTAAATCACTTACGGAGACAGATATTGAAAGCTCATTACAAACTGAAGTTAATGCTGATGATGTCGTCTAAGCAAGACGATGAAAGCTCCATGACTAAACAACTCAGCTCAGAGAACACAATACAACTAAGATTTTACGGTATATTTTGTAGATAGATGACTGGTGTTATAAAAATCCAATTGAACAAGAAACTGAAACGTTAAACATTGTTAGAAAGCTTTGGTTAGCCACACCATTATTTAGAGTTAATTTCATTTCTCTTCGATGAAATCACTATTGGTTAAACAGTGATTGAAGGTATACAATTGTGCGGGATGCAAACAAGCACACATATATACACAATCTGAAGTCTGTGTGTAACTTAAAAAACATATTTTTATAAATTACATATCACTACCCTTTTTTGAAATGCTGTAAATACTTTTGTGTCACATGTGTACAGTAAATTACCAAGTAGAAAAAAAGTGATACACGAAGATACCAGTAACACAACAGTACGAAATGGAATGTTTCACACCAGTTAGTACAGAGTTGTGTTGGCGTTTATCAATGGCTGAAATGTCTTTGCTCTCTTTTCACTTAATCATCCATTCGCTTAACAACTTAACACACTAAACAATAAAATAATAACCATATTTCTTTAATAGCAAGGACGTTAACATAAGTAAGGATATGCGGATATGATCAGAAAGAAAATGATTTGGTGACCTGAATACAAAATATATTATCGATTAGTTAGTTATAGGTAAAAGAAGTCAATGTAGAATATACCTACGACAGACAAACAACAAATTGAGACAACAGTATACTGTAAAAATATTCATTTGTGATAAACGTGACGTATGTTTATCTTGGACGCTGGAGCCAGATAAGGCTATGCGTATACGTTTGTTGAGCAGGCAGTCTACAATAAACCTGTAATACAGGAAGTAACCAATATTGGGAGTAACTAGTCAATAAAGTGACTAAGTAACATGGTCACTGGAAATGTAGTGACTTGAGAAACTTACTGGAGTTCAGCTATATAACTTATAGTAAGAACATCATGAGGTCAGCATAGATGTTAGAAGTAGAGTATTTTGGTATGAAAGCAAATCATTGGAAGACATTGCAGCTGGGACACATTTTAAACGCTACGAGTCAGTGTGTATACCCATATAGGATGTTAACTGAAGTAGAACTAGGTTGAACGGGGGTGGGGGAGCTGAGGATAACCACATCGAAAAGTGGAACCAATCTATGAAGTCCTTTGTTCACAGAGACCAATCCAAAACATCGGAAAAACTGATAAATTACACACAACCTTAAAACAATTGTACTCATCCAAATAATTGTTCATACAAAATATTCGGAAAATTTCTGTAGATATACTAACCTGAATCAACTGGTTGCGATACCGGTGAAACTTGGCTTAAATCGGTATATGCTGATGAATCAGCATCAGTATCTTGTTCATGTTCATAACAATCACCATTTGGAATAAATTCATTGAGACGATTATCTAATTGTTTCTGATTCTGTGCAATCTTGGGAGAAGTTATTTGCTTGTTATGGGTCGCTTCCGTTAGATTGGGATAAACGCCTACTAGAGAATTCACTTGAGTTGATGATTGGTGCTAGAAACAAGAAAATAAGTAAAAAATAGAAAGATGTGAATAAAGGCATTTTATTTTGACAGTTAAGTTCCAGCAGGTCCGAAGAATGCTATGTTTGAAGCACTACACAAGCATAACATGAAAAGAATTATGACAAGTGGAGAAAAGCTTTAATTTACTCGATACTTTTCCTCTCCAGATAGGTGTGAGTTTCCATAGGACAATATATCATTGTCTGAGATGAAATGGATGCATGCTAAACAATTACCACTCACTCACTTCATCGAAAGATGTTGGCTAAGACAATGAGGATAGTACAGTTTAAACGTGGCCAGATTAAAAATACACATGTATATTGAAGTCACTAACTACGAACTATACACATGTTGTAAACAACATATTCTAAGCTGATCACATCAAAATCAAAACACAATGCCGCTTAATCCACTCGAGATACATATGACTGCTCTTGCAAATTATTTACACTAAGAAATGACTTCAGGTACTTTAAGTTTTATAACATAGCAGCTGTTCAGTTTAGCGTTATTGATAGGAAAGAAATCGCTTTGAACAGCCTTTACTAGGAACATGCTTTCTCAAAAAAACATTGTGAACGAAGCATGAACAGATTTGAAAATGTAAGAGTGTGATACAAGAGATTAGATATCTCTTCAACTGGTCTCAATCGTCTCCAACTGGATTATAAGGGACTTAAGTTGTAAGAGTTAATGACACTCTAACCCTGTTGATAAAACCTCGACAAACAGGAGTAAAAACGCGTTGAGTGCCTAAACTACTGGCATCATATTTCCACATCCATAATATATAAAATGCTAGCAATTGACAAGAACAATACAATCAATGAACATGCACTTCTTGATAAGAAACCATCCTTATGAAACCATGTTCAAGAATGATTTCAGAAGCATTGTTTATAAAATAGAAAACTCGTGTAAAAAAAAACAAATAAAAATGATGTAATCGATCATACAAATGTGTAAACCATTCTCTTGAAAGACATGCATAGTTTTACGGGGGATGAATAAGAAAGTGAACCGAATAGCAGTTGCAATACATACTTCAGAATTCTCATTGTTGTCCGACTCCTTTTCATCCTCTGATAGAATCTGTGTGTATGATGAAAGTGATATTTATTAACCGATGGTCTCAATATGCAGACATCAAGGCAACATAGTTTATTAAGTCACTTGAAAATATAAAACTTTACGGAAGAATCTCCTACAAATACTGTAAGCCATCCACACAATAGATATTTAATGATAATTAGATATGAAATACGATTCAAAGAGAGTGAAAGTTGTGCTATTGCTATTTAGCAGTGTAAGATGTTAATAGCTATTAAACTTAACATGATACCTCAATACTGGCTGACACCAACACTCAGAATAAAGTAATTAAAGTGGCTGAGTACATAGATATATTCAATTTTTCCAATCACCAGCTTAAAAAAATCACCCGTTTACCACTGATGAAATGCAAACTATGTCGCTTATGTGATATCTTAAATCCTATTGAACAACAAGCATAACATATATGACTAATGCAGTTTTTACATTATAAGAACCTTTGAAGAACTTCATGACGTGAAAGTTAAGACAAGACCAAGAGTTGTAAGTCAGCCATCGAAGTTGAGAATTCGCACCAGTTGAGGTGGTTGGGGCATAAGCAAACCAAATCACCACTTACCAAAATAGGTGATGTAAATTAGAGTGGGATAACTTTAGAAAACAAGACAAAAGACACTTTTACGACACACTTGCAAGTGAAGCAGAACAGACTGCTGATAGGAGAGACCTGACAACACTATATCAAATAACCAAGTTACTATCTGCGAAGCAAGAGATCAACGCAGATGAAACCAATCAAAGATGGTGGAAGGAAACCTAGTTACCAAAAAGGAGAAACAAAGGAAACAATAGGCTGACCACTTCAAAAAACTCTTGAGTCGACCACCACTACCACCTGCAACTCGTCCAAAAATACCAGCAGCAGGCCAGCCACAAACTACCAGTGAACACAAGCCCTCTGATAAAAGCAGAAGTGAAGTCCTGAACGACATAAAGTTGCTGAAATCCAGGAAAGTGGCAGGACCAGATAGAATTCCACCAGAAACACTGAAAACAGACTTAGAAATAACGGCGGATATGCTCATACCACTGCTGCAGAAGATTTGGAAGGAAAGGTACCTCCCGATTGATTGGGAGAAGGGCTACATTTTCAAACTTGCAAAGAAGGAAGATGTAAGTCTTTGGAAGAACTGGAGAGGAATCATGCTCCAGTCCACCCAAAGCAAGTAAAATATTATGCCACATCATCCTAGAGAGATTAAAAGATGCGCTGGATCCGAAACTACGACCGAAACAGCCTGGTTGGCTGGCTTCCTGATTGTGGTCGACTGGATCATGCAAGAAGCAACCATGAGGAGCGAGAAGATGGGCGTACGCTGTCTGACCGATGGAAAGAGCCTAGAGGATTTTGATTTCGCCAACGATGATGGTTTGTGTCAAATATCGCACAAACTTGAAGAGCTACAGGAGAAAACTAACAAGTTGACAGAAGAGTCACCGAAGATGGAAGTCAACTAAACGTAGAAAAGACAGACATAATGAAGATACCCAACCAACAACAACATGCACCAATAACCATCACTGGAGAAACCTAAAAGAAGTTGTCTCTTTCACCTACCTACCTCTACCTACCTAGGCATCAGACTTTCAACTACACGTAGCGGCACACATGAGAATCTCAAAGCCAGGATCGGAAACACAGCAAGACACACCTTCCTTCATTAATCTGAAATCACTGTGGAGATCGAATGCACTCAGGCATAAAGCATGAACAACATACGGATTGTCAACATCAATATCAGTCAAGTCAGTGAGTGCTTTTATGTGATGCTTGAGAGAATTGTCGCGTCACGAAAAGCATTTCCAACAAACTACAGACATTCATCAACAACTCCCACCTACACCAGCTCACTAGATACTCACACTGAGGATCAGATGGCCAAAATAATAAGAATCAGCAACAAGGAACTCTAGTTGGCTGGCTGGCTGGCTGGCAACGAACCAACGAAGTAAGAACCTACTACCCAACAAATATGCAGAAGCAGGAAGTGGAGATGGATTGGATTGGACAAACACTGAGGAGACCGATTGGAGATATTACGCGTCAGACCAGGTCCTCGAGTGGAATCGAAAGGGAAACGACGAGTTGGGTGTCTGAGCCTAGGGTGACATGGAGAAGATCATGTGAGGAAGAAATGAAAGCTTATGGGCAGTAGTGGATCCAGATTGAAAGGACTGTAGAGAAGAGGGTGTAATGGAGACGTGCTACTGAAGCCTTATGTTCCACTAGGAACACAAAGGACAAATAATAATAGCTTTAGAAAACACCTATTGATGACTGAATTACGACACACCACCCACCTATTATGCGATAGTAATTATTTGTTGCAGGTCATCAGTAATATACCTGAAAATCGATTACAGTGGCTCAGATGTACTAAATTATTTACCACACATAAATAAATCGTATATGTTGAACACAGAATAGTACGTGTGTATTCAAATAGCTGAGCAAGTAACAGAACACTGAAGTATTTTTCAAAGGATGAAACCAGACATAATATTCAGTTTGTGCTAGAAGCATCGTTGAAGGTAGTTGGTAACCCACAACAAACAATTCATAAAAAGCTAATGAATTTCTGCCTTTCTCATCTAAAATGATCGATGCCAAAGAACTTATCTTGGTAGGATTTGATCATGAATAGAAGCGACTTAAACTGACTAAGCGGCTAAATAATGAGCACGAAGAATGATAGCTGGCGACTGAGTGGGGAGACCTACACATATGCTACCCACCTACCTCGATGTAAGATGATAACTGAAGTTAGATCAACTTGCGGCTGACGATGGATTTTTAGTAATAATTCTACTTCTAAGCCACAACGATGCTTGATGATGGCGAAACCGAAATGTGGAATAAATTTATTAGGTCTCTGATTCTCGGTCAGGACCGCGTTGAGACACGCAGTCTGCCTGACTGTGCCTTCCAGATGATGACCAACTGACTGACTGACAAAATCAAAGAGGAATATCGGACATAGATCCATCGGGTCAAGTTGTCACAATCCACAGTAGTACACAAAGAACTAGAGGGTAGAAAAAGAGTGATATCAAAGTAGATAAAGTAGTGTGAGAGAAAAAACAATCTTATGATAAAGGTTAGTGCGAATATTCAGGCTTTAGAAAATATCAAAGAGCCAACACATCTTCTCCACTCCAACCGATTTTCAGTCATATCACCAACAATCCTCACCCCCTAATTCCTTTCATCTTGAGGACCGCAACCAAGCAGTCTTCATCTCCACACACGGCTCAGATATACAGTCAGAGACTTCCCACCCTGAAACTCTTCAAATGGAATCCAACTTTCCCTAGAATGACACGCCAAGAGAGGTGGTTCACAACCTTATCAATCGACTTGCCTACCTCACCAAGTACCCTTTGCCTGACATCTACATTGCTCAGGTGGATGGTTTTGGTTAAATTGTGTTCTCTGAGCTGGGTTGCTTAACACACGATTTAACCAAGATCTACATTGCTCAAACGGTGATTCCGCCTAACGTAAGCAATGCTACAAAGATACCTATATGATGGTAAGAATGAATGGTTGGAGACTCCTGGTAATACTACTCAAGATAAACGCATAGACAACGAAATTAAGGGGTAAACAGAATCTTTTGAGAATTTCAGTTCAGCTTTGAGTAAACCTGTAGCAGAGAACATTGGTTGAAAATCATCTGTGCTTACATTTACATTTACAGAACTTTTATCCACCATTTTACGATCAACACTGATTGTTATCACTTAAACACACAAACCAAAATTATCTACTGAGTTGGTAATAGGATAATGAATAACTTAATAACGAGAATACGGTTGATAACTTGGAATCAATTTATTCGATTATTCTGATAGATAGCTACGAAGGCGTCCTGGACTTCAGATTTTAAAAAAATGAAACTACGCGTAGGTAGCGTGAAGTGTTCGGTGATTTAACTAAGCTGATACTAGATGATGATTGAAGATAAAATGAAAATCGGGTCGCGACGAGGTTCGAACCAGTGACCACCGGGTCTCCTGCCCACTGTTCTGCCAACTGAGCTAAGAGACCCAACTGCTGATCACATTTTCATTTCACTTCAATCACCAAGGATTTTTCCAGATTGTCATGTGAATTTGTGACGCGTTACTACTGTTTGGTGGTACTCACACTGACTGCTCAGACAAGACTTCTCATCTCAATTCAAATCTACTTGAATTAGAAGAACAGGAGGGTTTCATATTGATTATCAGTGTAATTAATTGATAAAGTCATGGTTTGGCAAACTTGTATTGATGTTGGGTGATGATTGAAGGTGAAGTGAAAATCTGGATTCAAATTAGCGACATCTAGGTTACTGATCAAGTGATAGTAACACGTCACGAATTCACACGGCAGTCGGGTAAAACTCCGCTTGTGATTGAAGTGAAGTAGAAATCTGGTCAGAAGTCGGGTAGCATAAAGTGTTCAGTAATTTAACTTAGACTGATATTAAATGATAATTGGAGATGAAATGAAAATTAGGGTCGCGGCGAAATTTGGACCAGCAACCATAGGGTTTTCGGTCCGGTGCTCTACTAACTAAGATACGAAACCCGACTGCATACCAATTTTTTATTTCACTACAATTACCTTAAATTGAATAACAGAAGTGTTGTAGTGTTCAGTAATCGTGTTATTCTGGAAACAATGATAATAAAAAGAAAGTATTTGCTTCATTCTTATTGTTCAACTCAAAGTAGATGGAATTGACTTTGAACTGGCAAATTTATTACAAATATTATGGAAAATAGAAAATATGAACTCAACAAGATAGTTTTTTTTAAATATCCTACCTGATTAAACTTTTCTCGTAGTTTCATAGCATATTCTTCCAATTCTTGTGTTCTAGAAGCTAATCGGCTAAGTTGTTTCGAATCTGTACGCAATTTCGAATGATGTTTACGCTTTGAAAAGACTAACTCTTCATCATAATTACTATTACCGTTTACTTTACAACTTTTTGGTTTCAAAGATTCTTGAGAATGAACCACTCCAATAGAAGAACAGTCATCATGATAATTTATTGTATTTTTAGTTTCATATGGATAAATAGATGATTGAATATGCTGCGAATGAGATAGATTCCCATCATGATCACTATCTTCCCAATCTTCAAGTGAATCATTCAGATGTCGTCGATTCACTCTTGAATTTTTCGGAAATACACTGTTGTGATAATGTGAACCACGACGGCGATGATGATGGTTATGATTATAGTCATGATTGTAAACTTGAATCATTGAAGCACTGTTTCTTGGATGATCATGATAATGATCGATCGGTTCACCTTCAGATTTCTGTTTTAATGAGTCCACTAAAATTCTAGTCGTTTCTAATTCACGTTGTAAGTCTGAATTACGCTCAGCCACACGTGCACGTTCTGCTTCTAACCGACGACATTCAAATGTTGTTTCTAATAGTTGTCGCTGGAAGAAAAAAAACAAAATAGAAGAAAACGTGCAGTTTCTTCCTATGAAAAAGACTAGATGAAGCTGACGGACATAATAATGAAGCTTAGACAAGGATGAGTCACAGCCGGAAATAACGAAGGTGAAATTTACAAGTAGATTGAAATGCTAAATAATCAAACAGTACAATACAACTAAGTCGGTTGGTGTACGTTCGTGTATTAGGGAATAATACGACACGGTCACTCTTCATAAAGTATATGAAGTAGAATTCAAACTTATGTTTTAGAGTTTAGTGATCGGAGGTGACCTAGATCAATGACTTACATTACTAGAATTACATGTTAAGAGCGAATTTTATAAATACAACCATTTAACAATCAAGTGCAGACTCAAGAATTAGGCTGAAAGCCATACTTTATGATTTAAAGACCAATTATAACCTGTCAGCTCAGAAACTTAGAAAAATTTTCGTTAGACAAAGAATATGCAGATGACATAGTCCTGTTAGGTGAAGACGCTGACAAGATGCAGGATCTTCCGAATACATTGAGTGGCAATTTGAGAATGTTTCAAATGCGTTTCCCACCACCCAAATGTCCTGGTAGCTCACTGGCCCATGCAATCTCTGCACCGATACAAAAACCTCGGCTGGTTTTCGCCAAATTATGTCATCTGTGGCGCCAACCTGATATACAACTGTCTATTAAGGGTCGCGTATACTGCACAACAGTCCGCTCTCTTCCACTGTATGGCTGTGAAGCATGGCCATTCAACGTAAGACATGAGAAGGCTTCAAGTGTTTCACCACCGTTGGCTTCGTAGTATACGCCGTATTCCATCGTGTCACCACGTGAGTAACGCAAAAGTCAGGGTAGGGTTTTAGGGAGAAGAGGTAAGTCAGTCGACACGGTTGTCAACCTTCATCGACTGAGATGGTTGGGACACGTGTTACTTATGCTTAGGCTCAAGGTGGCCACACTAAAACATGGCACCAATGTATGAAGTCTCTGACTGTTAGTTTGAGCCATGTGGAACGATGCAGACTAGCCGGTTGGGGTCCACGAGACAAGAGGAACCGTGGTTGGAGACTCTAGGTGATATGCCTCAGAACCGAAGTCAGTGGCACAGATGTGTACATACATTATCCTCATCTTAACGACGCTATACCGAATATCACCATCTTCTCATTCTTCCTTCCTCTCTTTTCGTACTTTATATTTCCCTTGACTGAATTTTCTTATTTCCATCTTGCACTTCACTGCCTTTTTACTTGATGTACTGATATGAGGTGTGGCATCTCGGACCGTTACGCAGTAATGCTTGGTCCTATGTTGGTAGATGATGATGATAATGATGATGATGTAACTAGACGTTGCCACATGCCTATTCGTCAAACTTGGTGTGCATGGGCTTATGATACTACTCTGTTGTTCAGACCAAGTTAGGTGGAGTAAAACAGTAGCCATAGCACAAACAACTCTCTAATAAGGTGTTATATTTGTAGAACGAACGAGAAATTTGACATATGATGATTCTGGCTTTCTTATATTTCAAAGACCTACTGATTCCATTTAAAGTTTTACTTTAAAAACGCCTATCTATACAACTCATATTTTATTCGCATCTTTTCATGAGTGTAAGTAGAATCATTTTCAAAATATATGTTTGAGTTTTGAAAGGAACTATAGCATATCTATCTTTTTCAATGAAATGTACTTAGGAGAAAGCTAAACATGATCTTCAAATGACATCAGTAGTAATTCAATTAACCACAGTAAATCAGATCGGTTGCAAATAACTTCGTGACAAAAAGGTGCACTCAGCAACTCAATGCACATTCGTACAGTAGGCAATGAGCCATGCCTATTGTATGAAGGCTTCCCAAACATCGGTAGGTGGAGAGGTGCCTGAATCCCCAAAACCAATGGTTAAAAGTCAACTCATCAAACCGATGACCCATAACCCCATAAAAATAACTTCATGGATTAGTCTCATGAATGGAACCAATCACTCTCAGATGGTTTCACATAAAAACACAGAATGGACTAGTTTAAAGCAGCAATCAGTATATGAGAGGGTCAGTACATAGTTAATCTAAACTCACTCACACAATTAACAATATAACGTACACCGCAATTGCTGCAATTTAAACTGCTGACCTTAAAGGTTGTTAGAGTAATGAACTGGAAAAAAATTAGTTAAACTTTCGTTTGACTTGTGCTTCATTTGAATAAAACCTATCCAAACAGACTACTAACTTTTTTTCCAACTGATATATAGCTTGACAAATGACAGTGTGTATACTTAACGGGGGTACTTTTTTCAGGAATGAATCGGTCAGTCAAGTAAGTGAATACTTATAAAGTAACTGTAGTGCCATACAGGAGATTCTAAAAGATCTTAGACATAAAAAAAGGTATTGGCGCTGTTCGATAATTATCAAGCTTTGATTTAACAGTGTGCGTGTATGTATGTAGGCATGTCAATAAGATGATGATGATGACAAGTGAAAAGTCTCATGTCTATATCTTGAACAAGCATGTATTCAAGCTTTATAAATAATTTCTACCCTGAAACTAATTCACTTTATTGTCTCTTGATTAAACTTATCTCATATGACTTAAAAATACCATTACAATCTTCTATAGTTTCTTTTTATAGTGTTAATGGAACTTAATGACTGGATGGCAGATTATCAGACAGTGATGGTATTATTCTTTATGTAAGTAAATATTTCGATATCTGTCAAATAATAACTGTTTTTAATATAGTGTGCTTGGTTAGAGTGCTCAAGCTATTTATTATCAATGGCTTCAAACTTTGATGTAGGTGTAAAATCATTTTGCAGCAGTGACGATAAATTCACTCTTCGAAAATTTGGTATATCGATTTGTTATTCCATTTCTCATATCCCTTGTTGTTTATTTTTGTGTGTGCACCTGCTCCTCAAATTTTGTCAACCATCGTAACTTGAATGTGACCAGTTTTGTTTCAGGTTCTATGTCGGTGTGTTTGTTTATCAGTCTTGAAGATAACCGATATACTAAGCGCATGGTCAGCTGTATACACTGGAAATTGAAGATTTAGATTTCAAGAACTTAGGTGATGGAGTTGTACAATGTCCAAAGTAAATAAATTGAATTCTGAGCTACAATTGATTCTACGATGAAACGTCATAGTAAATAATGAGACTGTGGTGAATGAGTTGGATGGGATATATGCAGTCTATGGGAAACATGTTGGTTGTAACAACAACGCAGAAGAATGGAACCACTGACTGACTGCATGCTCAGTGTTAACCGAGAGGACATAGTCTGGCTAACTGTAACCTCACCTACTCAGTAAATATCAGTGATGTAAATCAGTGGTATAAATCGTTTAGTTCTTCCGTTCGTTTTTTAACGCCATTCCTAATATTGAGTAGATTCCAATTCGTGATCTGGAATCTCAGTTATCAAATGAAATCAACAGGGAATCTCATTCTTACAGCGAGTTGAAAATCTTACAAACACTTGCTTTACCTAAATGATAAGTGCATTTATTAGCATAGAGATCACAAATGGAAGCTGTAATGTTATACATACAACATCAAATATTAGCGAGTACTAGTTCATATTACCAGGTGAAAAGAATAAGAGATATCCGTAAAGACCAATATCTAACTTACATTCAATAGATCAATTTTTTTTTCATAGTTCACACAAGTTGCTTCAAATTCAACACTTTCTGGAGCCGCTTCTGCCCGGGAAAGATTCTCTTCTGTTGATAATAAATCATTTCGTAGCATTCTATTTTCACGTTGTAATTCACGATATTCTTGTTCTATCATAATCCAATTCTGTTGATTTCGGTTACTAAGAGTAGTTTGATAAATCAGTTTATCTTTTGTACACCGTAAGTCCTCTTCCTATAAATAGATTTATAAAAAGATAGTTTAGTAAGCACATAAGTATACAAGTCTATAGAAGTGAACAAAGTTTTTCAATCAAGAAATAGAATTAAAGACTACAAATAAGTGACCAGCAAAGTAGTATACCCTGAATATATTGATCCACTCTTGTAAGCGGTTAGTCCCAGAAAAAGGATATAGGTTTGTTAAGGAAGTAGATGGATAGCCAGATAACTGACAATTTAATCAGCGCGAAACTGTATTTATGGTTTTTTGAAGACTATCCTGAATGATCGAAAATCAAATAATATCTAACATGAAGTAATGTGGAAGTTACATCTACAACCTTAGGGTTGTTCATTGTAGAGTAATGCAAACAGGGACATTAAGAACGTTGCAAATTTTTGTTCGAACAGTGAAATGACCGAACGATTAACAGTGATTACTAACCATATAAATACCATAATACTGAAGACTACTTCGAATCTTACATTTACCTACACACCACAGACAAACAGTAGATGAACCAATTTTCCACAGATAGAAAACTCAAAGTAGTAAAATGCATCAGTTTAAGTTGTCACATTCTGCAACGACGCAGGTAAAGGTGTACAGAAATGGAGAATAGAGGGGGAATAAATAATAAGTAAAAATATCCAGAAGTTCGAAAACAAGCAGGGCTTTAGTACTCTAGCTGAGGTTGTTACTAATCACTCCATTAGGGATGGTGTGACTGCCCAAATAGGTTAATTAATCAATGTACTGCAAAACTTTATTATCGATCCAGATTTCTAATGAAGGCATTCAGGAGACTCACAATTTTGTTAGTGTCGCCCGAGTACCCTATGCCAGTCATATACATTCCCGAAAGTAAGTCAATTCTTTAGAAGTAATACTAAATTAGAGTTATCTTCATAAATGCAAATAAAAATTGGGAGGGTGGATATCCTTTAGACATTACTGGTTATAGTCAATGAAAATGATCAACCTGTGTGAGTCCTCATATTGCTGAGTGAATTCGAGTAAAGTATTGGTTGGCATATCATGCTTTTTTGTACTCCTTTACGACAAAGTCGAATGTCGCCTTTAGGTTAAACAAATGACTGTGTCAGTTGACGTCAAGTGTGCCAGTGTTCCAAAACTTGTAGAAGGGTGGGAATCTGCTGGATACGTTATCGTCTAGGTTCAATACTTGTCTGGTTTCTTTTTATGTTTGAGATTCCTATGGTCCAATTAGACGCTGTCTTTATGAAGTAAATGCTGATGAAGTCGCCTAGTCTGGTGACGAGACGTATAAGAACAAATTCCAGAGCTCAAATAACAAATAATTATCATCCTTATCTCTTCCACTATTTTAGACGTTACATGTCACATTGACGAATTTTTAACTATTTTGAAGCATCCACATCCTACTCCTATTCACCCCAGACAAATATCAGTGTAACACGCATTCAATCGGACTAGTCTAACGTTTTACAATAAAAACTTCGCGATTCCTACATCTTCACGGTTTTCCAAAGTACGCGAACCCAAAACCCATCACGTTCTATGATGTCATTCTACTAATCGCTAACACATAAGCTTGCCCAGTGGCTAGTAGAAATATTGGATTCCATTAGAAGCGATTCTGTAAGTATTCCTTAAAAGATAAAATTTGAAGTAATCAATGTCTTGATGGTGTCAACATATAAAATAAATTTGTGTTCATCATTTGACGTTAACTCAAGACAACTGAAATTTCATGCGATTATATTTCTGGGCATAATTTTTCAATACCCATTCCATTGAATCACTTCAAAGAGCTACTGCATTTATGTACAAGTAGTATTAAATTTACATTCGAGGGAGAACATTTCCGCCAGGTTGATGGCATATTGACATGGGAGGTTCTTTGGGCCCTTTTTTAGCTGACATATTTAAGTCACACGTGGGAACCTTTGCCGAGAACCTAAGGGACCAAGCCTAACTATATCGAACATATTTCGACTATATCCTATCCGTTCTGATATTGTTGTTGTTGCTTGTATTATCCTGTCGTTGATTGGACCGAATTGATCGATCTCTATCGGTATAAAAGCAACAACATTAAAACTATACGCGTCGCACAAGAAGTGGCTATCGAGGTTCGTGGTCTAGTGGATAACACTCTATCGTTTGGAGCGATCGATCCCGAGTTTCAGTCCCGGTGATAATGCGCATCCTGGATTCCACTCCCAGTCACTATCCATCATTACTATGTTTAATTGAGTTTAACATACTAGTGAGGGCAGTGACAAAACCTTTTTAGGACTATTGGTTTAAGATTTTATTCCTCTTACGCCAGATAAAAAAACCCTATAACGCCTGAATCGGAAGACCACAGGGAAAGGAGGAGTGGGTCCTTTTGGGTTTAACCTTTTCTAATACTCCCTACCCATAGGAATGCAGCATCAGCATGGCACTGCTTGTCGTTCATAGGAAAAACCTCACAACTGATACATCCTGGTCCAGACAGCAGTACAACTTCGTCCTCTTAACCCTCAACATGGCTTAGCAATTTACACTATAACGGTAAATGCTTTTTATCTTGCCACTAACCAACAGGCTTTTCTGGTATGGTAGGACCTCGAGGGAATAAGTATTTCAGCCGGTGCAGCCCGTTGGGCGATTGTGATATACAAGCCCGACCACCACGTCAAAGTAGCAGTTATCGTATCGGTCGGGAAACAATTTCATCACATTCTCTTAGCCTATAACTAATTATTTTGAACTGGATGAGTAATATTTGATCACGACATTAACTTCCACACACATTTTTTCTGAAGAGAATTCCCAGACTATATATTATTACCAACTGGTCGGTATGAGAAATATCACTGTTGTTAACGCAAATTTATGTTCTCATTAAGCAATATGGACACATGATTGTAGAAACTCAGGAAGGAATTATTGACAAGAATATCCTCTTTCCAAGTATGTATCCCACACTCACGTTAACGCTGGCGTTAAATTGATTCATATTGAGTGTATTAGGCGGTGATTCACTGATTGAAGTTTCAATAACCAACTGATTTAACCTGGTTCCCAAGAACTGAGGTTTCGAACAGGTAACCTACTGGTCAAAAGTTGAGTCACAGTTGTTCTATTGAATATTAGCACTATCCACACAAATCTACTAAAAGCGATTTTCTCTCTCAAAATTGTCTATAAAGTTGAGCAAAACAACCCCTGAAAAGTGTGGATGCTAAAGATACTACTCAACTATCCATAGTGAAGGAGTTGACGTGAAGTGAAAAAAGTTTATACACATATTTTATTGAATATGATATGAAAATATATTAGCTTCTTGAAGGAATCTATACACACCTGGTTGATTGACAAACTGGTAGGTTCCCCAAGAATAAATCAAGAAAATAAAGGGAACTAGCGAAATGACAAAAAAAACACTTAAGTTGTACTACTTGAACTGATAATAGAAAATAATCCAAATCAATCCGGTAAAATTGTTCATTCATTAGGCTCTGAGCTAAATTTATTATTTGACGGCTTGTGATACCACACGACTGAACCTAAATCTAAGTACATGGAGTGGGATTCGAGTTGAAGAACTACCACTGAAAAGACTGAGTTACATCTTCAGTTGAACTGATACACTTTTATATGAGATCATACAATGCCTTATCGTTTCGTCAACATTTTTACCACAGAAGTACAGAGCAGTATACATGCATACACTTAACTATTAAATATTCCCTCAAGTGAAAATCATATTTTCTCTACTAACATAGTATAACTAACAGACTGTGCAACAGCCATAATAATTCAGATCTCACTATCAGTAAAAAAAAAAATTACGCTTTATTTTTCTAAGAGATATTAGTGCACAAAGACTGACTTAAATTTGTACTACAGTGGAACCAATTTCTACATTGTGTGTACAATAAACTAACTAGAAAACACTATACATCAAGGCAACAATTCTAATATCTCAAGTTGTTATTCATCGAAGACTGACATCAGTTGGAGGAACAAAGGAAACCTAGGAGCACTGGACAGCTGTTTCGTCCTAGTATGGGACTCCTCAGCAGTGCGCACCACGACCCCACCAGCAGGGATCGAACCCGCGACCTTCAGGTTCCGTGACCATGAATAACAACTTGAAATATTTCCAAATCTCCACAACCCCCTCAAAATTTAATTCTAATATCATTTAACCACTTATAAAAACAGATGATCCAAAATGCACACATACCACATTAAAACACTTCTAAATAACAATGATCAGTTGCAAAATTAATGAAGTTATATCATTTGAATAGTGATGTAATAAATAACCAGATAACTTCAACAAAAAACTCGATTTCAATTAGACAATTTGCATAAACAGTATCATGTGGTGTAAGATAACTGAGTCTTGATATAAATTATTATGTAAAGAGTGGGTTGTTTTGAGTGTGTATCTTCTACTAGCGAACGATTTGATGTCAATGGAGATACCATTTACAGTCAAATATGAATGAAGAATATTCTTTTCAATAACTTATCATCAGGTTCTACAGTTATAAAATCAATTTCGTTAACATATTAATAGCCGAAATTTACGGCGAGTGCATTTAGGAATGGGTATGGAATTATGATTCAACTTTGACTCTTTAAGACTGCGGGTGGACCATTAAGAATGACGTTACCAACATAGATTTGTATTGTTAGTACCATATGGATTATATGTTTCTAGTATCTGATAAACACTAGAATTCTACTGATTCGATCCTCAATCACTTCAATAACGCCTATCCAGCAGTTCATGATACAAATGAATGTGAAAGTAATAATTCTCTTCACTTCTTTGATTTCCTACTGGGAAGAAAAGAAGACGGTTCCTTGAAACGTAGTGTATATAGGAAGACGACCAAAGCACAGGATATACACTTCCTCAGCTTTGTACCAATGAAGTACAAACGAAATTTTATTAGATGTTTAGCGTTTACACCAAGATCGAGCTGCTCAGAGGAATGTATCGAGAAAGAACTACAAGCCCTTCAGGATATTTTAAGAGAAAACGGATATCCTGAAAAGTTCATAAAAGCAAACGTTGCCCAAGGTACTCAAAAATCTTTGTTTCTGCGTCTGCAGTTTACAGGAGATACACCGAGTGAGATTTTATAACAACGTCTATTCAGAGCAATAAATAGAACGTTTTACTCAGGATGTCTGTGCTTATCCTTTAATAGGCAGCGGTTGTTCAACCCGAAACTTAAAAACGTCTTACGTAATTTGGGTTCATCATCTGCATATACCAACTCAACTGTTTTTGTGGAACAAGTTATGTAGGTGCACTATTAAACACGTCTGTCTAACGATACGTGAACATCTACCATCACGATTTGAAAAGGGTGCGACACGTCCATCAGAAGTCCTATACCAGCACATCTAATAGACACAAGACACTAAATAGATGCTGGCATAGCTTTTACTGTCATACAAGCGTTCCAAAGACCCCACTACGCGCCATTAGTTTACGCACTCTCCATATAACGGAATCTGTAGCTATAAGATCAACGAAGCCTGAGCTTTGTATTCAAAAAAACATGTTCAAACCCTACTCCTCTTTTGGCCTTCCATTGACTAAACGGTATTCCCTCAACCTTTTTGTTTCTTTCTTAATCGTTCTTTTTCGTTTCTGCTTGCGTCCCGGCTCTCTTCTTTTCTACCTTTTTAAAATAAATAACGGAATTATCATCTATTATTTTAACTATGAAATAGCCGCAGTTTGGGAAACTAGTATTGATACTGGTGGTGATCGAAGGTGAAATGAAACTTTGGACCACGGCCGGATTCGAACCAGTGACCACCGGGTTTCCAGCCTGGTGTTCTACCACGTGAGCTACGAGGTCCAACTACTGACCAGATTTTTTTTATTTCACCCAGTATCAATACTAGTCTGTCAAACCATAGATATCTCAATTATTCAAAATAATAATCAACACGATGCTCTCCCTCTCTAATTCAGTTACACTTAGATTGGGATAAGAAGTCCTGACTAAACAGCCAGTGTGAGTACGATCAAGCGATAGTAACGCGTCACGAATTCACATGGCAATCGGGCGAAATCCTTGGTGATCGAAGTGAAATGATAAAAAATCTGGTCAGCAATCAGATCTCGTAGCTCAGTCGGTAGACCAGCACGACGAATCCGGGCAAGGTCCAAATTTTCATTTCACTTTTAGTCACCACCCAGTAGGAGTTATTAATATTGCTAACAATTTTAACCAGACTTTCCTCCTGTCATAAACCTTTAAAATTTCTGTTAAAATTTTTTCCACATTACTATTCTCATTATCTCAGTCGTTTCACACTTTAACCACTCCATTTCTGCTCTTATGACAAATTCATGTCATTCTTTGTACTAATCACTCACTCGATACAATGCAACCTTGAACTTTATTAATTTCCCTCTCGATACATCTGGTCATCAATCAGTTGACAAAGTTTACGCTCAACTTATCACCACAACTGACAAACATACATAAATTACACTACAATCCATACTTATTCCTAAATGCATTCGACATAAATTCTGACTATTAATATGATAACAAAATTGATTTTATAACTGTAGAACCTGATGATAAGTTATTGGAAAGAATATTCTTCGTTCATACTTGACTTTTAATATGTGAAATGGGAATCTTTAATTGTCTGATATCATTAACAGACTAGACTTTACGAAGCGATGAAAAAGTGATTTTCAACACTAGCAAATAAAATACAGTAAAACTTCTGATTAAAGCTGTAAAGAAAGTGCAGAGATTTACACACTCAAAATTCCCCTCCCCTCCCCCTTAGAAAATAACACAAATATACTTCAAATGAAGTCATCAATATCAATAATTATCCTTTAAAAGTTCCCACCATGTAATTTAGGGTAAGACATATAGACGAACAATATTATTTTCAATTAGACCCTCTTAAGACCTTACTCTAATATAAATAACTAAACATATGTAAAAACTAACCGATAAATCTACATGGCTGGTTTAATTTTTATGCATATTTAGCTACTTATATTAGATTAAAGCCTGAGGAGGATCTAATAGAGAACAACACTGTTCGCTTACATGTCTTGTCCCTATTAAATTATTTACATCAAACTAACTTACCGTCTCAGATAACCGTTGCTCTAGTTCACGGGCATAACTCCTTGACTCAACTATCTCTTCGTGTAGGCGAACCAATTCATCAGAAAGCCCCCGTCGATCTGCAGCTGAAGCACTGAATGCATCAACTGTTAAAGTGTGCAGTAGTTCCGGGATAACAGGTCATCAGAATTTGTTGTACCTGTTGTTGTAGGTGAAATCTCCGTTTGAACTGCAACATCGGTCTACAAAAAAGTGAAGTGAAAAGGGAAACAATAAAAGATATGATTCAGTAATAAGTTAGACAGGTAGTGAAGCGAATCAAATCAGAATCTTATGAACAACTGCATCAGTTTGAGCTATCACAGATCCCAGCAGCACACAAACAGTTCTGCTATAATATATAGCATGACATGTATATAGGTACTGAAAAGGCTCACCTTAACTAGTGCTATCCGTGTGCTGATGATATTTTCAAGCTCATATAAACGTTTGGTTTTCTCTTCAAGCAGTTGCTTTGCTGATCCCAGTTCTTCGTCGAACTGTAGCTAAAAATAAAAACTTTCATAGATGTATTGGCTATAATAAGCATAATGAAATGCATATAAGTAACTTTGATGTAACTTGATATTTGCTGAGTTCAAAGCTTACTTGACAAATCCTTAATGAAGCAAAACATTTTTCGAAAACACTCAAAGATTCGAGAAGTTCTTCAGGTACAAATTCTATATGCTCTTTTACCAATCAGAAAGTGATTATCTACGAAAGGTCTCCTGTTAGGGAATATCAAAACCTCGCGAAAACCAAACATTTACAACCCTATCGTTTTGAGAAATTTGAAATTTCATAATATGTTAAAGTTTGTTAGATGGATTGAGAATCCTAAGCAAGCTTCCAAGGATTAGTTTCTTGTGTATCTGTACAAGTGTCTTGTATTGAATCCCACCACTCTCGAATCCGAATCATATCATTGTTAATTTTCGACCAGAAGTAATGCATAAAAAAGACCTTATCATAATGGTTAGTACATGAATCGCCATCGGCCCCACAAAGTGTAACAATTACTGATGGCTCTAGTGTATGCATAACCGACAACCGTAGGCTATCCCTCAAAGGGTGAGCTGTAGTGCAACAGTGGAAATAAACAACGCAGGTTCATTTTCCAAACTTTGTCAAACAGCTCAGAAACTAGTTAAGCGAGGTTACCTGTCGCCTACTTCTGAATATCTGAGACCAAGTTATGGTCAAAATTCACAAACCGATATTAGTTAATAATGCCTTTGACAATTTAGTTGCTTCAGCTTTCATAGTCAAAGATAGACTGAGAATCAACAAATAATAGGCACTAACTTATAGGACTACTGATCGTGAATTTACTTAAGGCATACAACAACATTTTTCATACGCTTAATTATAACTGTATCCCGATATTTGAAGCCGAAAGATTCAATTTCAGTGACAATAAAAGTCACCCAATGCCAAGTAATCCACAACTAAGAGAAAACAGACTCTCAGTTTTCCTTTAAATTATTACGTATCGATTTAAGCTGTTAAACTGTACATCAGCACATCGAAAATACTTTGTACATTATAGCCAATCTTAAGACAGATCACCTGTAGCTTTCTTCCTTTCTAAATAAGCGCAATTCTTAAATAGCACGTTACAGATGTTGGGCAGATATATGTAGCCACTTTGATTGAAGAAAATTCACTATGTGAAATGAATGACGGTCAGACAGCTGCTCATCGGTTCTTAAAACCTACCAATGCTTTATTGTGATATCCAAACTATACTCTGCGATAGACAAACATAACGACATGAAACCCAGTACTTCACTGTACTATATACAGAACAAGTGAAATAGACAACGATAAGAGATGAAAGGAAAGAAAGTAAACGAAATTTAGAGATGTTCGAGATTTCGTAGAGAGCAAACAGTTCATGCGTTTACGCCATTGTGAGCCTTATCATCAAGAGTCTCCAACCATTGATTCCTATCATCTTGAGGACTCCAGACAGGGAGTCTACATCTTCAACCAACACTCGGAGTCTTCGTGGTTTATCTCCACGTTTTGACCAGGTCACGATGATATGTCTTCATGGCCTAAAAATAAATTTATAATTACCACTATGTGGAGCCGTAGCTGTGTACTCCATTGTCAATCGCTTAATCACAAGCCAAATGTACTCTACATCGGGATAGACAATCCATCATAGGTAGTGTTAATATAAGCGTAAAACTTTGGTACTGTGGTAGAATGTTGATCCACATTACATTTCTTTACAGTATTATTTAGTTGATGACGTTTCGAACATAAATTATTGCTCATAATCATATCAATGTAATCACACCACTTTCAATAATCGGTTTTTATAGTTATGTTACCTCATATGATTTGTTTTTATTGGTAGTAAAGTTTTCATATCTCTTGGTATAGGTGTTGCATCATTTCTATTACATGTGTTGCGTGTTGATTCGACGAACAAAGATTCAGTAATCAATCTCTCTCTCCACCCAATTATGTTGGACTTAAGTACAGTGGCTTAATCCCACTCAGCCTATTGTGTGGCCGAGCGTTTTTCCAGATTATTGATCTTATTTGGGTCTGTCAATCTATATTTGGCTAAATTCCTATATTCCGCTAATTTAACTGGCAACAACTGGATGGTCTGGCTTGTGTACTTAACATCATAGTCATTGTATGGAAATTGATAAATTATATTATTTTGCTTAATTGGTTCTATCGGATTCTTAAACTGACAAAATTTATCTCTGAGTTTGCAGATTTAAATACCACCCTCATTCAAGCCTTGCAGAGAATTCTGCGTCAAGTTTCTGATGTTCCTTCACTATACGGTAACACATGGAGGCTTTGAACTCTTTTCTATCCATGTTGTTGCTTTTATTCATATTCGTATTACTGTTATTATTTAGTTTCTTACGTGTTCGTACAAATTTCTTGATAAACTGTAGAGGATAATTATTAATTATTAACGCTTCTTTTTATGTCCCTCGATTCCTTGTTTAATTTGAAACGTCAAGTAAATAATATTGTATCACTGTTATACATCAAATAAACATCAAAGGTAGCATCGCAAACGTTGACACACACAAGAATGCGATACAAAGCTTTAAAAAAGCTTACTAAGTTTACTAACACAACCGGTCCCTAATGAAAAACATTCCGTAACAAGTAATATGCATAATCAATATTTTGAAACAAACCTGTAGTTTTGATATGAATAAACGTGCAGACTTCAAATCATCCTCTAAAACTGTACCCAAATTTTCACCAGGTTTGAAAATCGGTAGATCTGACACGAATTACTCAACACTATTATATTAGATCCGGTTGACATTATAAAAGAAAGGAAGTAAAACTCATTGAGACAAAACTATGTACCAAACAACTAAAAACAATGGTTAATATTTCAAAAATGCGGTAAAAAAAAGTGGTTAGCGAACTACTTACTGTATTACTCAGCAACCATGTATATGCGATTTAGGGCAATATGCAATGAACCCTGCCAATTATGAGACGACTAGTGATAATACTTAGTCGTCTGAACCTCTGTAAGCGGACTGCCTAGACAAATGTGTGACAGTTTTACCACGGGTAAAAATAATGTGTGGCATAGATCACAATGTCTTCTAAATATTGCTTGGTGTGAATACGCACATGGATGAGGTTGATATTTGAATTTCATTACTAATTCAAGGTGGTAAATTAGTTGACAGGACAACTAACTTATATCAAGTGGTACGCATACTAAACCCCCACCTCTACCTGCACCTGTTATGTCGGGAGACTTAGGTGAAAGACGGAAGCCTCAGAATGGCCATTACAAGACATAGCATTCATCAATGAATTCGCCGGCTGATGGTTCGAATTATGAGTTAATAAGCCGGTTAACTGATTGAGATACAGAACATGACTGAAGTGAATTAATTGGGACTTCAATTGGTATATCCAAAATGAGTGTTGAAACAGATAGATCTTGTTCTACAATTTCTAGAAATCTAACTATATCACCTTCTTTAATGTCTTAACTTGTTCCTTCTACCTTATTTCTACGTTTTTTTAATCATTATTCCTATCGCTTTTGATTTTCTATCTGTTGGTTTTTCCTCACTTGCTAAAGTGAAACACGTCAACTTAGTCTGATGTGAGATTTTGCAATGATCCTGCGCAGCTTTCGTCTGTCATTCTTAAACCTCCCTTGACTTATTAATGCTCGAACGCATGATAGGATAGTTGAGGACTAAAAAACATGCTGAAATGTGGGTTTCTGGGTTTTCAGCAGAAAAGCACATATGATACAGAACATAACGAAATAACTATACACATATCTAATCTCCAATGTTTATTCAAACAATACCAATCTGAATAACGCATTCAATTCAGGAATAGGTCTATTTGTACCATGACGATTACCATAAATATCATAAAGGAGAAAAATATGAACAAAAATGTACGACACATAGCATAATGGATTAAAAGGCAATCAATAAACACACAAACTACATATATATTGAACACAGGCTTATGTAATATTTGTCACAAGTGTCCACGAACACATGCACATATTCATACAAGTACGGATAGGCTGTGAGAATTACCGAGAAAACGATACCAAATTTAGATACAATAAATTGAATGATTTCTTCACTGATGTGCTTTTAGAACAACCGCAGCAACAACAACAACAAAAATTAAGCACTACAAGTGAACTATTTCAAGTGGTTTGTACACCATGTTTGTCTACGACAGAAGATATGTATATTCTGATATTGGTATTGATGGACAAAGAGAAATATGTGAAGTATGAACGAACGAAAGAAATATGCATAAGTATGTTACACACTGAAGATCTACCAAAGGTTCTGTGTATGTGCGTGTGTGTGTGTGATAAAAAATAGACGAAAGAAAATTTACCATTGACTTAGAAATAAACGATCAAAACATATACTGATAGCTTCTATCTTTACATAATAGTTGGACTTGCACATCACAATGACCCAAGGAGCTACGTTGGCTGGAACCATCATTCCTTGAGGTGTTACTATGCCGAAAAGATCTGTTGGATAGTGTAGAAGTAGAAAGCAGTTAACGTCCTAGTGTAAACAGCTAACACTATGGTGGGGGGGTCAGGAGGTAAAATCGTGCTGCTGGTTGGACAGCAGTGTTTCCCATAAGTGAACAGCAGTCGGTATGCATGTTGCCTAATTGATCGGAAGGAAGGATTAACAAAGGTCGGTCCTAAAAACCTCCTTTTGTCTTACAATCTTACAGTGTCTGCGATATGGGCTTTTTTAGTTCGCATTCAACACAATGAATACTACACTGAAATCTCTCCAAAAGGACATCCATGACCGATCTCAAGTAGTCCTTTAGATTTTGCATTCACCCATAACTGTTGCTAAGGCAATTTATTTTTTAGGTGCCTCAAAAAGTAACCTACAGTGTAGGCAGCCGAGAAGGACGCTTCCATCAGCATACGAAATCTATCTAATCAAGTCTCTTCCATCGCTTTCAATACCTGTTTTTGTGACTGAAATTAAGCCCTTAGTAGTTTTCGTAACTCACCCTGTGACAAAATCACACATCTGATTTCATGCAGAAAACGTCCACACCTTCCGTCAAACTCAGCAGCAGGCCTTACTTGCCTAAAACGTGGAATCTCGAGTCATCGACGCATCCCGTTTTTGAGACAAGTATACAGGTTATTCACTTCGCCTCACCTGGTCAATCCGATGAATCTACAAGAACTCAACTTTGCAAGTATTCGGAGATTTTATAGCTGATGTATATATCATAATAAGTTCGAAAGCAGAAACCATCCTTTTTGACTGAATGCTAGTTGGTATCCGTCTGTAGGCTATCCGACTCAATCGATCAGTAAAAACTACAGGGGATCAGGACACTCATTGATGCTTGTTTGTAGTGTCAATCCAAGCTCTCAACGACTGCAGTTCGGACGAAACAGAGGATGCATTATACTAAAAGCTGTCAATTTCGCTACATACAGCAAAACTTCCAAGCATAGTCATAGTAGCGGACGACTCAGACATCCGAATAGGAAGCTGTATCAAACTGAAGACATGTATACATACCCATGAACCGACAGTGGTGATCGTTTTCTACAGTTCTGCTGACGATTACTACCTTCAAACATGCGAAAACGGTTTCATTAGAAGTTTGCTTGCATCAAGACACAAGTGGAAAAAGAGACAATACCGCTATTATCCATCGTAGGGAGGACCGGTGACCGGTCGGTAATCTTTCTGGAGTACCTCGATGAAGTCCGATTACTCGTAAATGCGGATATGTGTTTGCACTTGAAACAAGAAACAAATTGCAGGTAAGCATATATGTGCTCAACTGAAAGACATCAAGTGTCCATCTATAGAGAAGACAACAGTAGCAATTTTCTTCCTGCTGAGATCTGTTACGATACTCAGTCTGCTGCAGAAACATCAATAGATACAGTTAATCATCAAAAGATAAACGTTAACAAAAGCCAATGGATTTCCGCAACGTAAAGTGACTAAGAGTTTTCGTAATGACCAAAAACAAAGAATGAGGGTGAAAGCAAGAGATGGAAAAGGTATCATCGTCAGGTAATATTCGACAATTGTTTAGGCCTACTAAGGTTACTGGTAAGATGACGGTTAACGCAAATATTACTGAAAAAGATGATCTTCGCTGATGTCCAGCTCAAATGTGATTTGCATGTAGATGATGGTCTTGCATTTCCTCTCGAAGCTGAGAAGACAGTTTCAAACCTAAAACGATGCCATCGGTAGTTTTAGGGACGAAAACAGAAAATTACTGAGTAGAAGATGGAGGTAGTAACCTGAGTATGGGAATCAATCGCACCAGACTGGTTTAGATCGCTGGCCATTACAGATCGCAAAAGAAAGAAGTTTCCGTGTGACAACCACACAGGAAATCATTTTGACGAATATAGTACCTTAGATCCTAGGATCGATAGCCATCTGATGCCTAACTGAAGCTCGAGGAAACCAGGCAGATTTCAAAAACGAAAGAGAAAACGTTGACCAAATGATCACCCTTTGACAGGTTTTGGAACACCGGAATACTTACTGAAGCCAAACAGTTACACATTTTTTGACTTGAATGTGACATTAGAGTCTATCAATTGAGAAAAGTTGTGGCCACATCTGACTGTCAAGAGAAAACATAACAAGTATATTATGCTGGTTACACCAATCTACTTGAATCATGCAACCGTATACAGATTTGTGGGGAGGGGGAGCAGTTGTCGTCTGAAGCAACGACAAACAGTGGTGTCAACTAGAGATTCCTGCTGTGACAGATCTTGTTCAACTTCGTTATCGATAACTGGCAGTTTGAGTTATGTATGAAGGTGTAAACTATCTGGTTCAGGTCATTGAGACAATAGGAATTAATGCTTAGAGTAATCTTGGATGACAGTTATCAAAGTGAGTCATTACTGCATGTGTACACATTTTCTCATCTTCGTAGTCTGATCTTAATCTATTAATTCAGTCGTCTCATATACTTTTTTTTTTACATTATTATCCATTTTTTAACCACTTTTTCGTTGCATGCTGCTGAGACGTGTAGCAATTTGAAACTATGCACTTCTGTGCACCGTTCTAAGTTGATTAGCCTGTTTACAATTGTTAACTAACGTAAATAGCTGGCGAATGAATATGCTAGTTAGGAGTGTTCGTTAGACAAGTCAAGGCAAAGATTTCACTTATGTACAATTGAACTCTTCAAAAGATAGAGCTCGATTGAGTTTCATCCGGTATATCGTGATTATTGACATCCATAGTAAGTAGAGTGGATGACAACTCGCAAACTAAGAAATGAGAGTTGAGATTACCTAAGCTAACAGATGAAATACTCACAGGAAGTTAATAAAATGCTTCAGTTACCTACCAATTTCGTTTCTTTGCACAGCATTTTCATTCATTGCAGAAGTTGTAGTTATCTGTTCATCACATTCAATCTCTTCTATATTACCTGTTGACTGGTTGATATTTGATGATTCATTGGTATGATTTCTTACTGAATACTGTATTTTAATTTGTGATAACAACTCATGCTGTTGTCTTGTATCCTTTTCAATCATTTCACGTTCGCGTAATTGTTGCGCTAACTAAGGAAAAGAAAAGGAGCATAAAAAAAACACAAATTTATGATTAGATAAACAGTAAATAAGCTTTTTAAGGGAAACCTATCATGTAGTAGTTATTATTAGCTGAAAATTTAAGGAATTCAACAGATTCACTTGAAAACCAAATCAAAATCAACATTCATTGATGTACCACAAGCTGAATGCATCGAAATAATTCTTGTTATCTATATCAAATTGTGATACATAAATGTTAGATTGTGTAGAAAGATTGCCGGAATCTTGATGATAGGAAGCCGCATATGCCTAAAGCTTTTTTCAACCAATCACTTTGCTCCGAAGTTTTGAGAAAAGCACGTGAACCACTGTGTAAGTATTATGTTAGTTGAAGAGATGAAAAATCAATAGGATTTAAATCGAGTAGGCCTGGAAATAGCCAGGGCTATTGTAATATATATGAACCTTGTATTGTTGACGTTGCAGTTGACGTTATAAATACACCCTCTGTTTTACTACTACCCTTTCCATTTACAGAGAAACTGAGTGACCATTAAGGGTAGGATCTGAAGGTATTTGTACACGCGTCCACACTAACATAGTTCAGGCTCTATGAAGTTACTGTAAAGACATAAAAGTGGCAACGGGTAAAAAATAATAACTCTTTCTGCTGAAAGATTTCAAGCAAGTATGCTGTGAAGAAAAGAGGGAAACAGCATAACTGAGGATTGTTGAGAAATTCAAGCAAATGCTAGATAACATTCAGCTACAATCAACATCCGTAAGTCCTCAGATTTTGAAAAAGACTTTTCGTAAATACTTCAGTGATGGGTAAAGTGGAACTGAAAATGAGTTTGAAAAGCCTGATAATATGAATCATGTTACATCAGTGGATGAGAACGATATTAAACCCTCCATTACCCACCACGGAACAGTAAATGATAAAGACATTCAGTCAGATCATGTTGACGAAAACTATGAAGTACTTTGTCGAGTTTGCAAAATGATGTAAGATGTTTAGTGCCGTCCAGTCTTTCTACAACCTTAACTCACGATGAATGTCCATAAGAAGTTCTCGAAGAGTACGAGTGCAAGCCGAAACATCAACGTCAACAATTACACGGATACCCAAGTGGATTAGAAGCCTCTGCACATATATCAAACGAAATAGTTACCCAATATGTTAGTGGTTTATTATATCAAAGACGATCTATGTCCGTACAAGAAAATGGAGACCAGGATTGTCTGCAAGCAAGCTTCGCTTTAGACATCCTAACCGCTAACCAGTAGGTAACTGAAAAACCCCGAATCCAACCAAGTTCACAGGTCGCTTACAATGCATCAAACGACCAGAAGCAAGTCATCGAGGTAGTATACTGTGGTGTCGACTATGACGATTTATCGCATAGCGTGGCACCTTGGTATTCAGACTTACTGCACCGAGATTATTCTAACTCAAACTAGACACAAGATTTCAGGCTATCATCAAGAAAGCATAGAAAGCTTGTTAGCATATAGAACCAAAAGAGTACATAAAATAAACACGTTACAAAACTTGAGAGGGAAAGAGAGAAGAGGAATGCACCCAGCCAGCTTATGCACATGCGTACAGTAGCCGATGACCCACACCTATCGTGTGGGAGCTGGTGATACTAATAGGCTGCCCAAACCTTAGTAGGTGGAGCAGGGCTCGAAGCCATGACCCGATGGTTGATAGTCATCTCCTTAAACCAGCATGCCACAACTGCACGTTACGAAACTAATGGTGAATAATTGGGGCCCCAGACTGATGAGCTACGAATTCACACCTACAATATTGAGCCTCCACAGAAAGTGATTTCTATTAGCTGACGAAGATCTACTGTGAAATGATAATGATCGGTTTCAACCATACAGAGGAATGTAGACTATGCTCTGAGCAATCAGGAGGTAATTCAAATTAATGGTGGTACTTGGTGACATCCGGCTGTTGACAATTGGAAAGATGCATTCACTCTTTTTCCATCTCTAAATATTTAAAGTTCCGTCTTTTATACTTATTTGCTACAACTTGGACCCTCAGAACTTTTTTAACTTCAGCGATTTTGCTGCAACGTCTTGTACTGACAGTCTAGCTTTATTCTAGTCGAATGTTACTCTAACCCTGATTATACAATGAAGTAAACGATGAATCGGTAAGCGTCGATGCGAAATTTTAAGCACGTTGCTTGGCTTACTCTCTTTGCACATTAATCTATGCTTAACTTCATTACGGTTTGTTCAATGGTTCCATCACAATGCTATAAAGATATCGATGATCGGATATCTGCAATCTCCTTTTGTTGTCTTCCATTTATCAGTTGAAACAGAGCGGTATTAACTGAAGACTATGCACCAGATTTACGAAATAGGAATAAAAAGACGTTTCAGTAATTTTGCATAAAAAAATGTATTACAAATTAAATAAACTTACTTGAGCCTCAACATCACGTAGTTTGGATGTAAGTTCTTCAATTTCACTGCATTTAATACGTCTATCCTTGAATTCTCTTAGCTGGCACAATTGTTGATCCACCTGAAATATGAATTTATAAACTAAATAAATAGCAAAACACTCCTTCTTTGAAATAATTAGCGTAAACAGAATAGTTTATGTGATATGCGAAGTGTCGAAACAATGTTGAGTGAAGAAGTAGGACTAATTCGAATATCAGTAGACATCACTGAGAACCAAACTTAATGGCCAGCTATTTTGTTGTAATTCAGTATATTATCGCAAATTTTAGGCTCGGTGGGAAGGAAGATACCTATTTATTGCTCAAATCTTAGGTTTAATCCCACAGAGTTATATCCTTTCGACCATGAAGGCTAACACATTGATCAGTACACCTTAGTCATCAATGTGGTTCTAGGAGAAGCCACGTGTACGTATCGTATCGTATGTCTCGTGTACGTATTGAGAACAAGATAAGACAGACAATGAAGTGGTTGTTTAGTTGCCCTGGTGTACTATGAAAATCATGATTAAATAGAATCTGAAACTAAATCCTCATGTTTATCAGTCAATAACCTGAAAACAATAGCTCCAGATTAAGGTGAGGTTATATATTATGTGCTGCTTTAAGCTTATCCAACCTGTCTTCCAATCAAAGAAATAAATTTTATCTACGTACGAACGTATGACATTAAGTGACTTAGTGGCAACATCAACGTCCTTTTGAGCGAGAAAATATGAAGGACATGCACTCGAAGTAGCATGTTCAAAGGACTATATATTCTTTATGTATCTTTACCCAGCAGGATTATGTTGACTACGTACTCCAAGTTGACCAAAGAATTTTGTGGAAGGAGATTAACTCGTACGAAGATGGATGAGGAAAGGGAAATCTCTATAAACATGTTCATTATCAAGTAGGATAAAAAGAAAGAGTAGACATCCTGGAAGGACACTGACATTAAAAAACGATCCAATGGATTCTAAAACGGAAGGGAAATAATTAATGTAAGGCTAAAAGCAAACTATTGGATTCCCAACAAACGGTGTACACTATAAACTAATGGCCCAAATGTTTTTTCTGAGTACGAAGATTTTATACAAGTTCTGTTCCAAATGGTGAGACTGTTTTCATCAAATCCATCTCGAAAACAGGATAACAAGGGGATCGGAAACGATAAGACCCCAGGATATGATGATGACAAAATCTGGTGAACTTTCGTAAGCAAATTAAAAATGATAGCGAAATGAAACAATAAAAACGAAAATAATGCATATGAATAAGAATAAGTCATATGACAGGAATGTGAAGCTGTAGACCAATGAATCAGACAAACGACTTCCTAATGGTGGGTCATGTGTCTAAACTACGTCCCACTTCCTACGTTCTAGCAACTAAATCGTATCGTCAGCTCTTATTATTGTATTAGCATGCATACGGTTGACGAGTTGAATTATCATTATTCATAACATACATGTAAAGATCAATTGTGCGGATAAAATACATTTGCTGAATACAAATGATGTATGATATATCTTGTTTATGTTTAGATATATGAATATCTATCTTAAATTACTCCAGTAACCAGTTGAACCTAAGTAGTTGGAAAAGTTTGCCGTAGCAGTAAAACCAACTGCTAGTTGAATGAACAAATTTTCTTAGTTAGTACACCTTGTATATGTGTAAAAAAAAATCCAATAACTACATCAGGTGGTGAGAAGTATCTGTCTTGTTAAATTCATCAACCTCAGAAAAATAAGCATGTATTTATAAGCTTCCGTGACATATACTCTGTATACCTTTAAGCGAAGATCTTCACATTCTTGTTGTAAATCGACTTTTTCCATTTCTAACTTCCGTAAATGTGTCATGAGATCTTGGAATCCATTGACACGAAGTTTTAAACTATGAAAAGAGAGTAGAGAATGTGATAAGTACAAAATTTGGTGTCATTCATTAAATTCACCAATAAATAACATTACAATCAAAAATGAATATATAAACTTCAGGATCAAAATTTGACCTGATAAACTGTTTAAACAGTCGACAACTTGTACAGGTTTTGTTCTCTGAAGAAGCAATTTCCACGAAGTCACAAAACGTCATAAATTTTTCTACTTCATTTGGATTTTATAAATATATTTCATTTACAAAAATGAATAGATATTAACTCACTTTTTAATTTCCTCTTCTCTCAATGCCAGTTCACTTCTACAGTGAACCAATTCATCCCCTTGGTCGTGAAGCGCCGTCAATTCACGAGACAGACGCAAGGCACGTGATTCTGACTCAGTCACTCGAACAGCAGCTTCTTCAACTTGACGTCGCAACCCAGCAACTATACTCTCAGCTTCATCTCTACAAGCTCGTTCTTTTCGAGTTCCGCCAATAACCGTCGCTTTTCACGTTCTGATTCTCGAAGTTGTGTCTGGAAATAAAGGTCAAAATAACTTACTTTAATCCTAAAGTTTTGAAATAAGCTGGTAAACGAAACTAGGAAATATGATTTTTTATTTGGAATTGCTTCAATAAACGTGCTAAGAATATGCAAGACAGATAAATTCATCATAGAACCTAATACACAAGTGCATTAGTTCAAGTTGCCACCCCAACCAGGTAGTCTAAATCTGTCCGCACGGCTCAGACGTAGTCACAGACTTTATCGACTGGTGCCACACCATCATCAAGATAAAGATAGGATCAGGCATTACAGTATAACGGTCCAAGTTGCCACACCTCATATCAGCACACCAAGTGCTGGTGTCACGCCTTGGTCTGGTCACCCTCAACCCTCTTCAAACCTAATCAAACTTCCCCTAGCATGGCGTATCGAGGTAGGCGATGGCTCGGCATGCTTAGTAATGTACAAGCTATCTCAGTTGACTTGCGTTCACAACCTCATCAATTGACTTGCTTTTCTTGCTCAGTAACCTTGCCTAATCTCAGAACTGCTCACACGATGATTCCACCAAACACGAGCAATACTAAAATGATACTTTTGATCTAAACCTTGTAACCGCTTCATGTCTTCTACTTTTAACAGCCATGTTTACCCGCCTTATAACAGGACAGAACGAACTGCAGTGCAGTATACTCGTCCTATGATAGATAGTCGGATATCTCGCCAGTCGGGGTCACAGATGAGGCAAGTTGGCAAACGCTAAACAGGCCTTCCGTAGCCGAGCTGAGATTTCCTGAGCCACCAGCCAGTTCGGGTTGATGCAACTGCCCAATTGAGTGAAGAGGTCAACACATTCCACCTATTCCTTCCCTATCATTAAACTGGGAGTACTTGCAGACCAGTCCTGGAGCATCATCACGCAGTTGACATGTGCGAGCAAAACGCATGCCAAACATACTCCGATTTCTGGTCATCACGTTCACAAGACTCTGCATTTTTCCAGCGTCTTCACCTAACAGAACAATATCATCTGCATACTCCAAGTTAACCAGATGGCTTCCAGGGAGTAGATCACTCCCTGTGAAGTCAGGCGTACTTAAAGTTGCGTCTATTATTATATCGGTAGCCATGTTAAAGAATATGCAGAGTACAAGCGATTTGAGAAGGGGACTCAACACATGAGATGATAAGAACTTTTCAAAATTTCTCCTATGGTCACAAAGTCAACATAATTGAAAATGGTTGTCTTTAGATTCAGCATAACTCCGAACGAGATGGTTGGTACATGTGCTACAATGCTGTAACACCGTAACTGGTAGCATGCAATATTTGTAATAAGGCAATTGGCTTGGGAGAGGATTGAAAGTGTCCAGACGAAAAACACGAAGTCAATGAATGTTATTTTCACCATGCAGACAAGTTGTTTGTATATGATCATCAAAATTTTAGTAACCAACGTTTGAAGACTTAATGACACAGTTTAGAATCAATTAGAATGGTTCAAATGTATTCACTTCTCATCATTTTCAAAAATCTCAGAATAATGGTAGTCTTCGTTCACTTATTCTCTCTTCATTTCTTTATGTTTATCAGAACAAAACTCCACTTCTGTTGACTTTCTTTCAACGTTGTTTTGAAGCGTGGTAACTTGAGGCGAAGCACTTCTGTGCATGGTTCTACAATGCTGTCTTTTGGTCTCTCTTTTTACAAACTACTAGTACTTTCAGTAAACCAGTGTATAACAGGTTTGATTCTTTTCAAATAATTCTGTTGTAATCTTAGGTTGCATGAATCCAATGAATATCTGTGAAATAAGATTTTTTGATTCTGCAAATCTGATTGTCCCTTCTTTGTTCAAACTTCAACTTATCATGAAACTGGGTTGATACTAGTTGAAATGACCATAAATCCGATGAAATATACGGCAGACAAAGAAAGAATCAGAAACACAAAACCAAATAAGAACACACCACAAAAGCCATTTGCATCAGTAGTTTTCATAGTTGAAAAAGATGGATACCTACCTATTGGCTAGTTTAACATAAGATAAGCATTTTTGTCTAAAAATGCAAAAGGTTAGTGATTCTTGAAGCTATTTTGTAAATAAATTATTTCTATGTAGAGTTAAGTACAACAGTGTATCTATTGTAATTTACGCTAGAAAATCTCTAACAGCCAGTCCTAACCACCAAGTAGAGCTTCAGATGCTTCTTACTGGTCTGGGTGTTCGGTTTTCAATCAGTAGGTCATGGTGTTTAGCGCCACTTCATCTACTGAGATCTAAACAGTTAGGCAGTATCATTAGCACTCCCACAACAGGTTTGGCTCACTTCATAACGCACGAATGTGTACATGGTTGTTGAATTCCATTTCATTTCGTGTTAGTTGTTACTAGTACGAGATATAATGCCATTTCATGAAAACTTTTAAGAGATGGGTGGGTGGCGTATACATTTGCTTTCTTATAATTTTATTATGCTTGGAAGTACGACAACTACATTGATTTGCTAAGTTGAGCAGCATCAGTGACCCGCTACACTACAATTGCATATAAGAACTATACAACTGCTACATAAAGTACAAGAATTTGAAACTGCAGGCGAAGAGGAATGTAACCCGATACAATGTTATGTTTGGTGTGCCAGTCATGAACTCTATGGCATAGCGACAAATACTACCTGTATCTTCAATTCATGGTTCACTTTCTACAAGAAAGCCGACATACTCAACGCCTACATTCTCAAATTACCTAGGATTTTCATTACAACTAGTCAATGGCTCCAGGGTTTGAAATTCATTCCACCTACTTCGGTCGGGCATAGTCTAGTGGATAAATTTATACAAGGTTGAGTTCCACTATTATTATTATTAAAGTTTTTGGAACAATTCGAACTATTACTCACTGAAATTTAATGTTTCAGGTGGACCAATAAGCGGAACATTAATCCAACTACACAGACCAAATTTTAGTCAGTCAGTTAAGAACAAATGTTAGCAACTATTTGCCATGAGGCTATACTGTTTGCAATTAGCAAAACAAAAATGAATCCAGCTCATTACAAGAGTAAAGAAAGAAATTATATTTCGACTAATTTACGGAAACCAGTTACGTTATATTTACAAAACCGTCACATCTGAGATGAGTGGAAAAGCGCATATAGCACATCATACCATTTTAAAACAGCATACTCGTCATAAACCACGAAACGTAACAAATCAAAGCCTGAACATAAAGGACAAATAACTCCAACCGAATACGTATGCTCACCTTGTGTGTCAATGATGGAGAATCCAGGAGACATTTCAGTGACGTAAGTGGTGAAACTGGATGTGGAATCATATGATGACCCTGATTTGTACTCCGTTCAGACGCGTCGGTCAAATTTAGTTGCGATGATGTGATACATAAATTTCGATCAGGAGTAATACATAAAGATAGATTATTGGGTCTTTGATTATCTGAACCACTTTTTGACTTCCCCGTATGTTTATTAAAATATTGTACAGGTGAAGTGGGACGGGTGAATTTAAACTCCGATGCATTTACTGAAAGACTGTGGTCTTCATTAGTAGTACCAGTCATTTTTGATCGTTAGATACCTCTACTTGAGAAAAAGCTTTCGATGATGTTTCCAAAATTTCCTCCTGTACAAATAAATGAAGGGCTGAGTCCTAATAAGTATACAAAAACAAGACTTGCCAATCAATTTTCTAAGTCATAGGAACCAAATAGCCTACCATAAAGCTTTAAGCCTTATACCTTGATTTTAGACAATGTGTACATTAAAATTTATCCACTTACTCAAAAGAAACGTAAATCCCTTGGTACATAGTACCTGGAGAAGACACTTGGAACAACCCTAGGAAAAGTTTCCAATCATATTGGTCACAGTGATTCACTAAGATTCTAACCAGGGTAATAAAGATAATAACGAAGACCACAGCTAAGTCGAAGTATTAGTATTAGACTCACCTCTAATTGATAAGTATTTTTCGACGGAAGGTAAGTGGATAGACCACCGTTCGGCATAATAGGTAACGGATCCAAAAGTCTTTGTAAGACTAAATCTCGTGTGAATTCATGATGAAGGGATAATTGGGTCATAGGCACTTGAATTAAGTGGAATATAGCAGTTTGCATGTCCAAACTCAAATCCAAAGCAGCATCCATGAATGATTGTCTAGATGGACTCTGAAGACATCCTAATAAGACTGTCAAACACACCTGAGGAGAGAGAACACAAAATCATATGACTGACGAAATACGGAATGAAGCGAAAATATTATCTTAAAACGAATGACCACTTAGATCAAACCTTTTACTGGCTTACTCTGTAGAACACCAAGTGACAAGATGAGCAAACAAAAAATAATGACTTCAAAAACTGAGCACATACGTTTTAATAACAGTGAGCACCAAACAGACTAACCTATCTTAATACATCAAGCTAGTGCCAAATTAGTGAACAAGTTTAATTCGCTATAAGAGTTTGGATCACCAAATATTCAGATAAAGGACGAAAATGAAATAAAAAGTAGATAAGGCAAAACCTGAAAAGTAAAGTAAATAAATTGTACAAGATATACCATTAACAAATGCATATTCACCACTTAAGATACAACCGTCTAGCTAATGGTTTCTGTCACCTCAAACACCTCATTCACGTAGCTCACTGTTCGGGTTGGTAACTAGACTTTGTGTCCATGTTCAGTGTTTCCATCTGATAACTAAGTCTTATTTCAACAAATCTGATTGGGTAATATAACGTTTGAGAAAAAAGACTACTGAAAGAATGAGCCCTAATGTTACATTTCGATGCGTAGCTGGGTTACTATTTGCCGAGATTTCTTCCACACCTCAGTGACATACTTCTTCCTGAAATACCGATTGACCGAACTTCATAAGCTAGTGAGTCAATAGCCTCTCTGCTGTTTTTACATATGAACAGTTATGGCACTCATCTAATAATGATAAGAATTCATAACTCGTATGAGCATATATATAGATTGCAATATCGCAGCTTACAAAGTTCAAATATCTAAGCCAGTTAGGTTGGAGAAACGAAGAAAACCTTTTAGGTAAACGACAACCACATCTGAATAGAAATAATGAAATAATAAAATAATCCCGATAGCTGCTACCTTGATGTAGTGGTCCGGCTTGCATATCACAATGATCCAACAAGTTATGCTGGTGGAACACTTGTTCCCTCGAGGTCCTACTACAGCAGAAAGGTCTTTTGGATAGTGGTAAGACGAAAAGCAGTTACCCTTGTGGTGTAAGTTACCACACTATGATGGGAGTCTGAGGGCGGAGTCGTACCACTGCTAGCTGGATGAGGTGCAACAGCAGTGCCATGCTGATGCAGCCTTCTCAGTGGAAGGGGGGTTAGGAAAGGTCGGCCCCAAAAATAACACACCCCACCATACCCCACGGTCTGCCGCGCCGGTGGCGTTGGTTCATTTGTCGTTTCCTTCCGACCATCAGGTCCCAAAACAACAAAACTCCAAAATAATTATACACAAAAGGCTGTGTGTGACAGGCCTCAAGCATATGTCCGATGAGCTCTGCGGTCACACAAGTCGCTTTCAGGCACCTTCAGAAGAAATAGCTTCCCACGGGTGTCGGCAGCCGAGAAGTGTCAACCGCCCACACAACTCGATCGGCACTCAAGTTTCTTCAGACTGCTATTCACCTCCCTCATCATTACCTTCTTATCTTCCTTCATGTCTCTCAATTAACGATACTACGTCATCTTCAATTTCTTCTAACACTGCAGCCTTCGACAACGACCTGAATCCACAGAACAGCATCCCTCATCTCCTTAAACTACACTCCAAATTGCACATCGGGGCCTTCAATGTCCACATCCTCCATCAAGTTGGTCAACAGGCTTCATTGGTAAAGACTCTAGCAACTCGGTCCATGGATGTGCGCTGTGTTTGTGAGACTCGCATACAGGACCCAAGTGCGGTTATTCACCTAACATCTCCCGGCCAATCCGATGAATCCCCAAAATTCACTCTTCGAGTTTCTGGAGATTTGATGGCTAGCTCTCACGGTCTTGCAGGTGTAGGCATATCATTAAGCACTAAGGCAGAAAACTCACTACAAGACTGGATCCCAGTTGATAGTCGCCTCTGCTCTGTCCAGCTGAATGGCTCAGTGGGAACTAAAAGGAGTAATGAAACTCGTCGTTATCTCTTCGTAATCTCTACTTCAGCACCCACTGACTGTAGTTCGGATGAAGTGAAGGACGAGTTCTACCGAAAACTGTCTAAGCCTCCTTTTGGAAGCTAAACGCTCAGATGTGGTGGTTGTTGTAGGTGATTTCAGTGCACAGGTGGGTAGACTGAGTGAGGCAGAAAAGCACTTAGGTGGAACTTTCCAAGTCCCGGTTGAAAGTACAGAAAATGGTGATTGCCTACTAAAACTGTGCTCCAATAACCGCTTATTTTTAGTTAGCACAAATTTCAGACACTGTCTGACCTGGTGTGCACCGAGCTCAACTCAGCGATGGACACAGATAGACCACATTGCTACTAGTCATCGCTGGAGAGGATCGGTGGAAGACTGCCACTCCTTCTAGAGTACGTGTTTGGATAGCGACCACGTGTTGGTCCGAGCGCGTATATGCCTGTGTTTCAATGGACGTAAGAAATACTTGGCAACAAAACCAATACAAGTGCTGCTGGAAAACGAAAACACCAAAGCCGTATTCACTGAAAAGTTGGCTAGGTAGTTATTGGAATAAAAGACTATCGCTCATCCAGAAGAAGCTTGGTGCCATCTCCAGTCTGCTGTGAAAGCAGCACTGAAGACCATAGCCCACTCCAAAATAGTGGCTAAAAAGAGCCGGCAGATTCTTACGAACTAATGGACGCAAATGAACGCATCTCTGCAGGCTCTGAGTACAATGAAGAGCGGACGCAACTTAAAAGTAGATTGAGAAAAAGTCTACGCAACGACTGCAAACAGTAGCGGACAGCGAAGGCTAGAGATGGAAAAGGCAGCGGCGATTGGTAACATTAGGCAGTTATTTAAACTTATTAAGGAACCTGGGTTGAAAAGGTCAACGACGGTTAGTGAGGCTATAGCGGAGAAGGACGGGTCTCCAATTCACTCGCAGAGGAAACGACTGGGACGATAGGCAGAACACTTCGAGGAACGGTTCAAATGGCCTCCAGCCTCCATTGCATTCCCTGCTATCCAGTCAAACCCTGGATGCAACATTGAGATAGGTCCCTCAACACTTGTAGAAGTCGAGAAAGCAGTAGGCAACTTGAAACGAGGAAGGGCGGCAGGATCAGATGGACTAACTCCTGAAGTATAAAAGGATGGCAGTAAGGTGTTCTTAGTCAGATTAACGGAAGTGTTAACCAGTATATCGGAATCAAATACGGCTCCCTCTGACTGGTCTAAATCACTGATTATCCCAGTTTTCAAGAAAGGTGAGAAGTCCTCTTGTGATAACCACAGAGGAATCAGCCTGATGAAGTGTCTAAGATACTAGGTTCTATAATTCTTCGACGCCTGACTGGAGCTCAGGAACAGCAAGTCCGAGAAAACCAAGCAGGCTTTAGACCCGGTTGTGACTGTATCGACCAAATATTCACACTGTGCCAGGTTTTGGAACACAGACACGCTTACTGACGCCCGACAATGGCTGTATTTCTCGACCTGAAGGCGGCATTCGACTCCGTTGATCGAGAAGTCTTATGGTGGTGTCTTTCACTGAAAGGCGTGCCGAGTAGGTACATCACTTTATTGAAAGCTCTCTACTCGAACACTTGCGGGCGTGTTAGAGCCTATGGTGAGATATCCAGGCAGCTATCCTCATCGAGTGGTGTCCGTCAAGGGTGCCCACTATCTCCATTCTTATTCATTTTTATCATAGATATTCCTATGGAGGCCTCCCTCTCGTCACCTGACTACGCAGAGGTTGACCTAATCGCAGGAGAATATTCGTTAGATCCAGAATACGCAGATGACATAGTCCTGTTAGATGAAGACGCTGACAAAATGCAGAGTCTTCCGAACACATTGAGTGCAATTTGAGAATGTTTCAAATGCGTTTCCCACCACCCTAATGTCCTGGTGGCTCACTGGCCCATGCAATCTCTGCACCGATACAAAAACCTCGGCTGGTTTTCGCCAAATTATGTCATCTGTGGCACCAACCTGATATACAACTGTCTATTAAGGGTCGCGTATACTGCACAGCAGTCCGCTCTCTTCCACTGTATGGCTGTGAAGCATGGCCATTCAACGTGGAAGACATGAGAAGGCTTCAAGTGTTTCACCACCGTTGGCTTCGTAGTATACGCCGTATTCCATCGTGTCACCACGTGTAACGCAAAAGTCAGGAGTAGGGTTTTAGGGAGAAGAGGTAAGTCAGTTGACACGGTTGTCAACCTTCATCGACTGAAATGGTTGGGACACGTGTTACTTATGCTTAGTAAGTCCAGGCTGGAAAAAGGCTCAAGGTGGCCATACTAAAACATGGCACCAATGTATGAAGTCTCTGACTGTTGGTTTGAGCCATATGGGACGATGCAGACTAGCTGGTTGGGGTCCACGAGACAAGAGGAACCAGTGGTTGGAGACTCTAGGTGATATGCCTCAGAACCGAAGTCAGTGGCACAGATGTGTACATACATTATCCTCATCTTAACGACGCTATACCGAATATCACCATCTTCTCATTCTTCCTTCCACTCTTTTCGTACTTTATATTTCCCTTGACTGAATTTTCTTATTTCCATCTTGCACTTCACTGCCTTTTTACTTGATGTACTGATATAGGTGTGGCATCTCGGACCGTTACGCAGTAATGCCTGGTCCTATACTGATATTTATGATGAATAAAATAATGGATAAAAAGTAGTTATGAGTATAGCTGGGAGATAATACCATCAAACCAGTTTCTGTGAAACTTCTGATATGAAAATAGCGATTGGTGGAATTTAATCAAGCTTCATTTTACTTTTCAGATCGTCTTGATGACCTACCTAGTCGTTCTAGTTACTGGAGATCGATTATATTTAATGGTAGCCATAAATGTCGAATTCACAGCAGGCAGGATTCCGTATATCAATATATATATTATATATATATATATATATATATATATATATATATATATATATATATATATATATATATATATATATATATATATATATATATATATATATATAGGGTCTACAATCAGTTTGTAGTCAGTTCAACACGGATTCGTAAAATTGGAAACAGAAAACCATAAACTCAAAAGCTTTAAGTTTTAGACTTGAATGAAGTTGGGATTAATGGATATTTCTGCCTGGTATTTACGTAAAAACATCCAAGGTAGTGTCTGTATCCACTGCACTTTATAGACGATATTGCAATTGAAAGCAAAAAGCAATGGATCATATATTTTAGCTATCTATATATATGGTAAAATAATGCAATAAATGATTTTGAGGCGATTCAGTGTTAGGTATATTAGGTTAATATCTGAGGTGTGCACAACGCCGACCAGTTTAAAGTAAAATTATGATTGAAGAACACTAAAGGAATCCACAGGCTACTTGGGCACACAAATGGAACAAGTCCAAGAAGTTCTTAGTTGATTTCAGTTACATGAAGAACTTCAGACAACTTATGAGGTAGTTGAGTTGACAGGACAAAATGAAACAGCTAACGAATACACGCATGTTTGTGTACTAGACAACGAACCACATCTATTGTTATAATAACACTAGTTGGCTGCCCAAGCCTCGGTATGTGGAGCAAGATTTGAACCCATGACCCATTAGATGACAGCCGATTGATTAAGCTAACAACCTAGAGCTTCAATGAGCTCACGGGTTAGACGCGTTAGGTGCAGTGGCTTGAAAATGGTTATAATAACACACACGTATTTTATTATTCAAAAAAGCTTTACATCCTGCTTAATAATTCAATGTAATTCACTGAAGTAATGTAATCAACAGATTTTTACCACTAGTCTTTGAAGTGAGACTGGCAAACAAGCTTGTTTGTGATAAACAGAAGGATTATGCGTCAGAATTCTAAGGGCGATGCCTAGTGGTGCCAGTGATGACATGTAAGTGACTTTATGAAGTTCTATAGTTTTGAATTCCCAAAGGTGAATAAAACAGCTATCTGTAGTCGATGCACTTCCACCTGTTATAAGCACTAGGCTGAGCCACAGTTATTGACGGCTTATGTTACTCACCGACTAAAGAAGCAGGTGGGGCAAGATTTGAGCCCAGAACCTACTGATTGACAGCCAAGTGTAAGAACCAATGAACCAAATCCCAACAACTGTTAACTGAGTCAACGCTTACTTCTGCCGAAACGGTCAGCAAAGCTATTTAGTATAGGTGTAACCTATAGCTAACAACTTTCTGAATAACTTTCAACAATCAGAATCAAAGAGGGTTAACAAGTCACATCCAAAGGAATTAACGACGTTCATAGTTATTTTTGCTAGACTACTTCTCTAAATCCGTAATCACAGTTCATGAATCTTGGACGTGGTTACTGAAACCCGAACCAATTAAATTGTACATTTCGATGGTCGTACTGGCAGAATGTGATAAACGGGTCACCTTGGGGATATGTATCACAACTGGTCCGAATTCGTATGTAACACATCCATCAAAACAACACTGCATGGTTTGTATGAATCATGGCTGCAAATTAACACCCATAGGATGCCTTTTTTTACCTCCATCAAAGAATTGGTTGGTTGTTTGAGATCACTTGAAAAGTCTGTCTGACGTTGCGATGGATGTTGCGTAGCTACTTTCACTAGTTTGATTGTCTGGGGATGATCAAGAGGCGATAGGCATCTGCTGGATTACTGGTGGGTCATACGAAACTATTGTCATAAAAAATCAGAGGAGTGATATGCAGTTCACGTTTTTTATATACCAACTCATCGAAAAAACCAACAAGGATTGGTGTTTGGATTCAAACTAATTTCCTCAAACCAGCACTAGGATCAAACTGAATATAACTATTCCCAAAACTGAATGAGGCAAAGGAACAAAGAACGATTAGCATAACTGACTTATTCATAATCCATTAGGAATTAAGTAGTGAAATGTGGTCAGCTAGAAACAGATTCCGAGTCACACCTTTGCAAAACATTGAGTCATGGTAAACGATTTCAACCGACCGGGACACGTTATCACAGGACTGTGGTCAGGTGGAAGAACCACGGAGGATAAAACTAGCTGTAGTCACTAATGATGATACATGATAGGCATTCCTGAATTCCTTTTGCGTTAGCCTTCAGTTGACGCTATACAAAAACACTGGGAAAGTACAAGAATTTAAGCGCAAAAGAAAGGATATACGGAGAAAGGAATATGAGGAAAGGCTATGCACGACGCCTTTACGTAAACATACTGCCAGAAGACGTTTCAACATCGTGTATAAAGTGACTTACACTAAAAACCTCCAGGTCATCAGCTTTGCCAGAGATAACTCCATCAATATCGAACAACTTTGAAACGATAGAGTTAAAAGTACCTAAATTGCACCATCAAACATAATAAGATACCTTACCATCCAAAAACGAATCAATTTGGTCTTTTATACACTGACAGTCTACGCGATTGGGGACAGCATTTCTGCTTTCAACAATATATACAATAAAAACTTACGAGAGTTCTATTAGATGGATGAGCAACCTCCCATCTGCTAGGTCGGAAAATGTTATATCTGTTCTTGTTATCAGTGATATCCATTTTAATAGGCTTTCCTTCAGAAAATCATCCATGAACCGCCAACTTTAAATAACTTCAAACATCCAGTTTTCCTGAATCTGAACTGCAAGTCTATCGAGGAATGTAGCGAAATCAAGCAACGTTAAATACGATTCAAAGGTATAACTTCCTACTACGCGCGCTGCGCAAACGCTCGCAGCACGACCAAGCAATTTGATCCATGTAAACTAACATGCTGGTGCCAGAATACTGTGCGACGAATACCTGCTTATGCCCTCTGAGTCCATCATAGTCATTGTTTTAAATAGTTCAGGGTTTTAAGTGCATTGTAAAGTTTACCCTGAGTTTAAGATCACAGTAAATTACTGGAAGAAGTCATATAAGGAGACCTCTGTAGATAATAATAAGAATTCCATGACCAGCTACAGGAACAAGGTAGAAAAAAATCTAGTTTTCGTCGATTCATTACAGCCTGAACACTGCATAAAATTTTTAAAAAAGCTTTAAACAAAAGATGGGATATACAGAGTGTTCAAACTGCGTAAAATGCATCATACATCTAAATTTCTAAGTGATATGTTATTACTCTGCTCATTGTAGCTTGTAAATTTTCTTTGATATCGGTTAATGTAAGTTTTGTGTGCCTTTACTGCTGAAATCCTTCTAACCAATACAATTTGTCCCGTTGTTTGTGTGGAAATATGACAAGATTCCAACCACCAAGTGAGGGAGTTAAGATTCGTTTGCTCACTTTCAGAACGAAGTGCACTCAGTCCTACCCACTACTTCCAATGTAACTCGCTGTCAGACTTCACACATTGTACTTTCCACCTGCCCGTTGCTTAGGCGAGGGCAAGCATTATTACAATGCCTCTTCACTAGGGACCACAGAGTCATACATTTGGAACCCTAGTCGTCTACTCTGTAGCTTTGTTGTTCATGTTTCCTCGTTTTCTTTTTATGGGTTAAAGACTTTTGTTTGAAAAAATCTAGTCGGTGGCAAAAGAGGAGCTTAGAACGAGCATTTCATCCTATTTAGGGCTGATTAGCTGGATGTACTTGGACCCAATGGATGCTTTCATTCCCAATTGGATTTAATTCCAATACCCACTGCCACCTTTAGTTGATTGTTGCTGACTGTCTTTTGTTACTTTACATTTGTATGTATATACGTACTTTGCGTTTAGTGAGTCACTGAGCCAACATTTTCGCTTCCTCCCCCTGCCAGATCTTCGTGCCAGTCAAGCGAACTACCGCCACAAACTTTCGCACATGACTTTGCACCTCCTCCCTACTCAATCTACCTACAGACTAAATTACCGCTTGCCAATAGCTGGCTTCTAAACGTGTAAACAGAACCGAACAAAGAAGGATAAACATTGCATATTAGCCACCATTTGTTCGCTGCTCTTACCGTGTACTTTTTGCATGAGTAGCTTCGATAATCACTTGTTGAATGAAAATAGCCTCAGGTTGTCTCTACGTGAATTATCTACCAAAATGCCTCAAAAATGTGTGGCGTAACTCCAGCTCAACAACTTAGAAATCACGAATTGGGTAATTCGCAGTACTTGGACTTGGTTATTCGGTATCTACATCAAAGGCATTGTTTGGTTTGTGTCGGGTTTCATTCATGCTTATCTTGTCGCTGCTTCTATAATGGGCAATTCCGGCGGTACTGAGTGTGCACGTTGAATAGATCATTGAGACAGCCACCTTAGTGACAATAATAATAACAGTCGCTTCGTTCTGAACGATGTTTTCGCAAATTCGGAACTTTCAGCTTGATATATTGCAACTAATATATGTATATATATATATATATATATGCGCTCCTCCGCCACACTTCAAATTGCTTTGGTATAAACATTTAAGTTGTGCAAGGAATATTACCAGCGGGGAAGAGGTTATTTATCGTTGCAAATTTGATGATCGATTTCCGTTCCAACACGCCAAGGTAAGTTTTCTCATGGGTATCGTTTTATAGCTTGCGTTCTTCTTGCGTGGAATGTCATCTTTGGTTTGCGTTTTCCCTTTATGCAGCTACTTATTATTAGTTCTGACAGGTCACACCTAGAGATCGGCCCCCACGCAACGACCATGTTGCTTTTGAATTGGCTGAACCGCACGTTGTTAATTTGCACTGTTCTTCGTGGAAAGTAGACACTTTCATTAGAGATTGAGTCTTACCCCCCATGACCGCCCTGCATGAACAACTTACTGGCGTGTTTTATGACAGTCATTCACGCTTGTTATCTAGCATGAAGTTCATGCACAGGGTTATTTACATGGTGAGCAGCCACCACAGAAAATGCGAGTTCATTATCAAACCTGCTTTCATACATCGATTCCGGGAACAGAACAGAGTCAAGTGACTGAATCGACGGCCTGTTAGCAGGGCGTACTCTGCACTTATCAATAAGAAAGAATGGCATCCATTGACTATGCAAATAGTACCACCATCTAAACTCTATCACGCCGTGACCGCTTTCCATTACCTAGAAGTGCTGCAAAGTTGAACGAACTAGAAGGAACAGAGTGGTTCCTAATGAGATCAAGGCTGTAAAACTGACATAAATTAATGTAGATTGTTATATGAAATCGATATTATCATTGCTCTTGAGTTAGCACACGGGTGTTCGCAGGAAGAAACATAATCCTCAGGTAGAATGAAAGCTTCTCTCGTTTCATCGACCACTTTATTTGAGTCAAAACTAACGCCGCCTTGATGAATTAATGCATTTTTAGGCACCTGATGCAGCCAGTCTTCGAGTGTTTGGTCCCAAAATTTTTTGAATCATTTAGATGAATTACTGTAATTCGGCTGCTTGATAAGACAATACACGAGCTATCCCTCAGCATATCGGAGACAGAAGTTTGAAACTTAAGCCTACTTAGTGTCAGTTTCGGCAGCAGTTAGTAAGTCTTCTGCATACTAAGTCTTGCCTCAGGGGTCAGGAATGAAAGAAACAAAGTTATAACCTTTATTCCCTGAAAAACTCCGAAGCTTGGGGCAGAAATTTTGTTTCACTCGTCTTTCTCCTCATTTTTTGAAAACTTAGTAGAATCCGTTCATCATTTGACTGATAGAAGGCGTAGTTAGTTTCCCCAACCCAGTGTTGGAATGCCTCAGGATAACACAAGACTCAATTACCTTTACCAGAATTAGCCTCCCTTTTTTATTTTGGATAAGTGTGCTACTGCGCATGCAATAGAGGCTATGCTCGCTAAGCCAAAGCCTGAAGTTGTGAAGCGTTTTACTGCTTACCCTGGCTAGATGTTGGATTGGTGCAAAACTCTATTCAGCTAACAGTGAGGAGGTACTTCCCTGGCAAAATTCTTGAGTCCCTTTCGACGTTGTCTCCTGAGTTTGGGCTCCTAAGCCAAGATGAAGGACACGGCCCTGCGATGGCTGTGTAATTTCCACCGGGCTGAAGCGCAGCCTTCATGTTGGGTGAAAGCTTGCAAGAGTTTGACCTTACACGTAAACAAGAGAGAGGAACATGAAATTTAGGTACTCATCCCCTACCTCTTGTTGCCACGATCGACGAAATGCTAAATAACCTAATAACTGCTGCACGTGAAAAAGATTAAGCCTACCTGCGCATCAGATGCGTGGCGGCGATAAATTGTGGTGTAGACAGTCAAAGGGCGTACTGTTAGCAGTGAATTGCTTTTGTCTGGAGGAAATTTTCACGTCTGGACATGAAAGTTTTTTCCCTGCTCAAGCCAACTGCTGAATATGTCTTCTCCTGAACCCAATAGTTCAAAGAAGAGTTAGCATCATGGAGGTGTCAAAGGTCGCCGTGGTCAGAGCATGCTACTTTGGCCTTGGGCGAACAATTGGAAATCTCATCCCTTATCCTGCCAGCCACACTAACACAACTAACCATGAACACGAAATCTTTGGCAGCCTTTCGTACAGGCCCCTGTCCGTCTCGTAGAAGCACTCATTACTTTGATGGTGCGAGATATATCTCATACTCACGGACACTAACAGATAGTTGGCCGAGTTTGGTCGGAGTTGCACGTATTTTCCTGCGCAGAAAAACGACCTTTCCCTCAAGCGCAAGCTGGGAAAGTTTTTGGTACAGTAACAAGTCTATATCATCAACATGCACTTCCTCCAGACCTGCACTCAGTGTCATCGATGGCAAAAATAAGGAGAAATGACAAAGCTAGACGATTCCGCTTGACCCCAACACGGGTCCAGAACAGCGGATATGTATGGTCGTGTGCGGCCTGATTTGGTGAAGAACAAGGCCTCCGAGATGCTAACGGGCGCCTTATGAACACCACTGTGTAACACGGGATTCCAGAATACAGTCCTACCTAACGATCCGAAGGCAGACACAACATAATGAACTTCCCGTACTCTGTCTGTGCCCTCCATCAGCCTCCTCCTCTTTCCCTGGTCTGGGTGACGCAAGCTGTTCATAAAAAAAACAAGTCAGAAGCCCCATTAGTTGCTGTTCTCAATAAGGGCTGGAATTGTTTTAATTCAGAGGTTTCAAATTCTTGTTTTTGGTTCACCCCCATTACCACTTTGCCACTTGTCCATCTAATCTGACTACAGCTGTTAACCTTTGTTCCCTGGCCAGAGGCCATACCCATACTAACAGATATATTCTTTTGAATTTCACCATCAGTTTTACAGAAGCTCTAAGATGAGCACTGCGTAAAACATGGATTAACATAGTGGACCGTCGATCTTGCGTGGTGAATTACTGAAGTCCTTGGGAGTAGTTCTGTCCTGCTAGGACATGGATTGTACTTTACTGGGTATTGTGCAACATGGAGTTTGCCGTCCACCGTGATTATCTTCCAAATGTTCGTCATCAGAAGACAATACAGAGGAATTAAGTGAAGGAAATTATCCTTCTTGGCAACCTCCCATGCAAGGCTACAAATTCACTTGCGCAAAGGATTCTATGTCAGCATTTCTAAAATCCTACCTGATGGCATTATGCCGTTGGGTAACAAGCAAAATTGCAACGTCAGTGCCCGAATATGCGCTTAAATTTCGTAATAACCAAAAGAATTATGAAAAGTG